GGTTTTTAATAAAAGGAAATAAAGAATCTCTCTCTCTTCTCCCGCTACCTTTTATTCCCTGCCTTCCAGTGCTGAGCATGCAATGCCTCTCAAAGAAGGGGAGGCAGTGTCTTGTCCAAGGTTTTCCTATCTAGAAATAAGCTGGTTGCATTCACAAGCAAGCAGATGCTGAAGTGTGGATAGAAAAATCTAACTCCTTCAATGTGCAGCAACACATTTGAAAGACATTTTCCTGCTGTGTCTTAGCACATAGTTCCACCTGCTGCTGAACTTTCCCCCTTTCTGTAGAGAGAATGTCTGGCAGAGCCAAGATTTGCTGAACAAATTGCTATCACTGCATTTTAAGATGCTGTGAATGTAAATTGATCCACATAAGCCTGCTTTCCAAGGGATGTAAGGGCTCTTGCTCACTTATTCCATAGTACTGTTCTGAGGACAGTGTGTATTCTGGTCTCAGGGCATAGTCTTGAGGGAACTTTATGCAAGCACTTTCTGAAGCTAAGCAAGTTGGAATCTGGGCAGCATGTACACTGCCTGTAGCTTCATGGTGGAAGAAAGACTCGATATAAATGTGCTTATATTTCTGCATTTCTCTGTGGCTTGGAGATAACCTTGCTGTATCTAGTATTTGAGCTCTTATGGTTGTAAAAATATGTTCAGAAATGGATGGGTAATGCATGCTGAAGACTCAGAGTTTAACACTACAATCCTATACATTCAACAGCAAGCCATTCAGTGGGGTTTGGAACTGGGTAAGTGTTTTTGTAGGACTGTTGTTGTTGTTTAGTCGTTTAGTCATGTCTGACTCTTCGTGACCCCATGGACCAGAGCACGCCAGGCACTCCTGTCTTCCACTGCCTCCCACAGTTTGGTCAAACTCATACTGGTAGCTTCGAGAACACTGTCCAACCATCTCGTCCTCTGTCGTCCCCTTCTCCTTTCCCAATATCAGGGTCTTTTCCAGGGAGTCGTCTCTTCTCATGAGGTGGCCAAAGTACTGGAGCCTTAGCTTCAGGATCTGTCCTTCCAGTGAGCACTCAGGGCTGATTTCCTTCAGAATGGAAATATTTGATCTTCTTGCAGTCCATGGGACTGTCAAGAGTCTCATCCAACACCAGAATTCAAAAGCATCTTTAATTCCTCCTCACTTTCTGCCATCAAGGTTGTGTCATCTGCATATCTGAGGTTGTTGATATTTCTTCCGGAAATCTTAATTCCGGCTAGGGATTCATCCAGCCCAGCCTTTCGCATTATGAATTCTGTATATAAGTTAAATAAGCAGGGAGACAATATACAGTCTTGTCATACTCCTTTCCCAATTTTGAACCAATCAGTTGTAGGACTGTAGCCTATACTAAATCCGGAACAGATTCTTTTCGTCTTGCGAGGCACCACTGTAAATGAGAAGGCATTGGCAGGGGTGAAGGGAACTATATATACAGCATGAGAAGTGATGTCTTTCTCAAACTATTTTCAACTGTCTTAAACTCTACTGCCCACCTTCAGCCTGAATGTACAAATTTGCCAGTCACTGGACTTAAAGGTAAAGGGACTCCTGACCATTAGGTCCAGTCGTGACCAACTCAGGGGTAGCGGCGCTCATCTCGCCAAGGGAGCCGGCGTACAGCTTCTGGGTCATGTGGCCAGCATGACTAAGCCGCTTCTGGCAAACCAGAGCAGCGCACAGAAACGCCGTTCACCTTCCCGCCGGAGTGGCACCTATTTATCTACTTGCACTTTGACGTGCTTTCAAACTGCTAGGTTGGCAGGAGCAGGGACCGAGCAACAGAAGCTCATCCCATCACGGGGATTCGAACCACCGACCTTCTGATCAGCAAGTCCTAGGCTCTGTGGTTTAACCCACAGCCCCACCCGCGTCCCTTGTCACTGGACTTAGAAATACTTTAAAACTGTTTAAATGTTGTCACATGGTATTATTACTGTTGTCTTCTTCAGCCCAACTGCACTTTTTTTCTTTTGTCAAATAGAAGCTGCTGAGACCAGCAGAAACCTATAGCAGTTTATAAATATAAGCATAAGATAGAGGCCAAGGTCATTTTGTGACAACCTAGGCACAGTTACCAAAGCTTCCCTAACTTGTAGAGGATGTGGCTCTAGTTCCAGTGGCACAAATCACTGCTGTAAAAATCAATCTCAAAGACTGGGTAGCTTGGCTTTGTTTAGCTTCCTTTAGTTACACATCATAGCAGCCAATTCCAAATAATTAAGGCGGTAACTTTTATGGGGCAAACTTGTTAGAATCCGTGTGTTTCTTGACCAGTGACAAAGGATTCTGTGTAACTTGAAAGCTTGCATGCTATTACATCAACCAAGGTTAGTCTGTTGAAGCTAAAGTTAGTTTTACTTGTTGTGTTTTGTGTAGTAGATTGAGCCTAGGTATTTTTAACTGGAAGCAAGTTCCACTTGGGACTTAACCCCCAAGAAAAAGCACATAAGTTTTGGAGCCTGACATCACAACACTGCTCGATTACGCCAAAGGCTATCTAGTCCAACATCCTGTTCTCACAGTGGCCAGCCAAATGCCTATAGAAAGCTGTCAATCAGGAGCTTAGCAGCCACCCCACCTGTGGTTCCCAGTAACTGGTTTTCTGCCTCCAACAGTTGTCTGTGCCCAACTGTAGTGGTCACAGTTGGTTATCATTCTTACTCATGTTCAGAACATTGCATTGAGGCAGTGCCAAGTGTTCCACAGAAAAATGTTGACTGGGATTTCGTAGCAGTGCTCCAGCTGGTTTGTTTAAAAATAGTTTTTACGACTATCTTGATACAGAAGATTCTTTCAATCTGAGGCCAGTTTATGAGAGCCCAAAGCTTTAGGCTCTTTTTCTCTCCCAATGGCAGCACTGGTAGAGAAATAAACCAAAAGAATAAAAGTAGGCAGATGTTTTTCTCAGTTTGCGGCATTCTGCCATTGGTGCTGGTGGTGTTAGAATGCTGCTGTAACCTGAATAATGTGAGTATTTGCATAGCAGTGAGCTCACCAAGCTTAATTTGCTTCTAGTATTTCCCCTGGCCACAGCTGCCAGAAGATAGTTTGCGTGTGCCTCACACTATCAGAGGTAAACAGAACCCGGATATAAAATATGAACACAATAGAATGTTTAAAATAAAGTGATTGCAGATCAAGTAGCTTGCCATTTTTCATTACTTATTCCTTAGGAGTGAAAAGAGGCTTACCCTTTGACAACCCCAGTGTGCCCCATAACCAAAATTAAATAGAGGAATAAGGCAACAGGGCATTGAGTGGAACAGCCCATCCTTTAGGCAGCTGCTGTGAGGAGATCTTCAAGAGCAGCTGGTGCTCTTTCAGATTCTTCTCCTTAATCTGTTTTGAGAGGAATGAGGAGAGGAGGGTCAGTTTAGTACTGTTAAAAGCACTGAGATTAATAAATTAGCAGGCATGGCATTGTAAAATCTAGATATTCTTCAGAATGCTTTCCGGTTGAGTGCTACCTGCAGATTAGTTCACAGAGATTAAATTGTTGCACGTCTTCCTCAATAGATAGATTTGCTTGCTCTTCATTCCTGTTTTCTATTTAAGGTGATTAAATTATGTCTTCTTGTGCTAGGCAAGACACCAATAGATGGAAAACTTAGCAGTTTTACCCAGCAGCTGAAGGAAATATTCCCTCTGAGAATAAAACATAATTTGAATACATTAACATAAACTCTCAGGACTTAAGTATTGTGATAGGAATTTTATGGTCTTAGATATATGGTAATGTTCATAACTGCACATACATAGATCAACACAGGAAGACCAACCTGGAACCATTTTGATTCCTAAACTGACCAAATCCTTTCTCTGCAAGGTTAAACTGGAAAAGCCTCCCCATTGTCTCTTTCCTCACAAATCCTGTCTCAAGGATATGTCTGTTTGAATAAGGTGTGAGCCTGTGACCTGGCCCAGGAAATAAGTATTTTACCACTACAAAAGAATGGCCAGGCTCCCCAGGCAATCCAATCAAGTAACTTGCCAGACAGGAGATAAACAACAACAGGAGAAAAACAATATTTAAATTTCTGTGATGTAGGTGGGATGTATCTGGGGGGTGGTCTTAGGTTACACCCCTTCTGTGATGTATGCATAATGTTTCTGGGGGTGGTCTTCATCTAGAGAATGGGAATTTCAAAAGTCTTTATAAAGTCTTGCACACCATCTTTCTGGGTGCTCTTCCTCTCCTGCGTGTGAGGGGAGTACCCTGTTGCAACAGATCAATAAAGATCAAGCTTACTAGCTGCTTTGCTTCTCAATATTCTCTGGTTGGCCTCTGTTATTTTCTCCTACCAATAGGGAACCTATGTAAGGACTCTATATGGGCTCTTGGATACCCCATAAGGGAAAAGGGCATATTTTATTTACAACAGTATTCAACTGGGTGGTGCCTCTGCATGATAGTCCTTTGAATTCTAGTTTTGCTAAGTTGCTTCTAAATATGCAGAAACATGGTTTATATGATAGACTCTTAAACATGTTGGCCTATCTTATCATTAAGGTGTGTTTAGCAAAAGAACTTTCAAGCCATCCTGTAAATTTCGGTTGTGTTTTGGCTTAGCTTGATTTTTTGCATGAGGTGAAAAAGTGACTTCAACTGCCTTTCACTCCTTCTGAAAGAAGCAACTCTGAACTTTCTTCATCCCCGCCTCCACATCAGCTCTCTCCCTGAGAGTTTATTTTTAGTTTTCTGAGCTGCAACCTTTGGAAAGCATGCCAGTGGTACGCTCGCACACACCAATTCGGAGGTGAAAGTTACCCAACAATTTCTCTTGCTTCCTGTAGCAGCTTTCTCAGGATGAAACGTGCACAACCTGGTGTCATGGTGGTTCTTCGTAAATTTGTTTGAAGCTCCTTTGCAGGCAAAAGGGAGGGAAAGAGAGATCTGTGCCCGAGAAACCGTTTGCAGAGCAACTTCCTCTTTCCTGTCACTTCCTTCCAGGCAGTAAGATCTCCCTTACTTGCTCGTTTCTGTTAAGTTGATAAGTTTGCCTAAACCTGATCTCCATGCCGTCGGCTGTTGGTGGTGCCACCGTGGTTCAAGAGACGGGGGCTGGGCAGGTTCCCCGCCAGCATATGAGCACAACAACTGAACCAGGCGGAGGTCCAGCAGGGATCTACTCTGCTATCCTCAGCCGCAACCAGCCCATCATTGGAGTAAAGGAAAAGACCTTTCATGAGCTCCACAAGAAATGCCTTGAGAAGAAGATTCTTTATGAGGATCCAGATTTCCCTGCTAATGACTCCTCCCTCTTCTTCAGCCAAAAGCTCCCTGTCAAATTTGAGTGGAAGAGACCACTAGTAAGTAGGCTTCTTATCTCACGTAAAGTTGTTTATATTCGATGTTTGCAAATGTAATAAAGACATTTTTCCATTCCAAGTTAAAAAAAAAGAAAGCATAGATAGAAAAAATGATATCTGGGAAATGATGAGATTTTAAGAGGCTCCACGTGCTCCTTCAACTGATTTACCCTGATTTATTGAAAAATCCCTTTTGTCAGGTATATCCAAATTTTCAGGGGGAAACACCATGATTTGTGTTGTTTGTGAGTAACACCGTGTGGGCTACACAAACTAAATGGGAATGCAAACAGCTGCAAATAAACAATAAACTCTACTGTGGACAAACCCTGGAAATTCATTCAAGAGTATTCAGTTAGAAGCATGCTGAAAACCACCAGAAGTTCAAGGCTGAAATGCACAAGATTTTATAATTTGTGCATTCTATGGGGGGGGGGGAATCTACAATGATTTAATGGAATCCAAGTTATACTCTAGTAAATACATACACTAAAAATAGGGAAGACACTTGCATGCTGCAGAAAAATAGCTATATTTCTAAATGGCAGTAAAATGCTATGGGTGACATATTTTAGTCTTATTTATTAATTTACTACCCCTTTATAGCCCACCTTTCCTCCAAGGTGGTATATATGGTTCTCCTCCTTCCCATTTTATCTTCACAACAACCCAGTGAGGTGGGTTAGGCTGAGAGACAGTAACTGCCCCAAGGTCACCCACAGAACTTCATGGCTGAGTGGGGATTTGAATCCTGGTCTCTTAATCAGGTACATGTTTACTCAGAAGTAAATTCCACATTTCCAATGAGACTTACTCCTAGGTAAGCAAATATGGAATGCTTTTATTAGCAACAATCTTTTATTTCCTTAACATTGCATTTCATTTTCATTAAATAATTTATCACAATATTTATATAATTGATCATAAACAAAATTACAGAGGTTTTGCAGCCATTGCCAGTGCAGCTTACAATTTCTTTTAGTCTACAATTATCAAAGCGCACACTGTGTGGATCTGGGCATAAAGTGAATGATCCTTGGCATTTTTCACATATTATTATTATTATTATTATTATTATTATTATTATTATTATTAACCACAGTTTGCTTGGTTCAGGTGGCACATAAGCAGTTGGTTTAGAGTAATGTGAACTTTTTCAGCAATTTCTTTCTGTTCCGTAGGAAATTTGTGAGAATCCACGCTTTATCATTGGTGGAGCCAACAGGAGTGACATTTGTCAAGGAGAATTAGGTACAAGTCCTTTCTTCAGAGCTGTTTTGTGTGTCTGATAAGTTTATTTAGCAAGTCCCTTTCCCCCTGCAATGGCCTTTGGTTCCCAATTCAAATGTTGGATAAGTTTGATTTGATTTACTCCCATGATCCTGATGTAGATCTTCATTCACCCCCTCTTTTTTCAAAAAACAAAACAAAACAATTTTTAATTGGTTTTTATACAATAACCATTAAACACTTATCTAGCAGTACAGCTAATAGTGTTTGTTTTATCCATTGTCTCTAGACATACACTTGCACATTCAGCATTCTTAACTCAGCCCCTTGTTCCCAGTGTAGATCTTTATTTCCCCCTTGTTCCTGATATAAATCGTCACTCCACCACCCAAAATGGTGTGGGGTGCCATTTTGTGATTTGCCTCAGGTGCCAAAATGTCTTGGGCCGGCCCTGTCCTAACTAATATATGCCAGTTAAATGCAAATTGCTCTGAAGACCAAAAAAATATTTGTAGAAGCACTAATCCTTCAGTGGCATACATTCTCTGTTCCTCCTAGTAATTTTGACACTTAATTTGCCCTGCTCTATATAATTCTTCTCAGGTGACTGTTGGTTCCTGGCTGCCATTGCTTGTCTCACCTTGCACGAGAAATTGCTGTTCCGGGTCATACCACGGGAGCAGACCTTCATAAAAGATTATGCTGGAATCTTTCACTTCCAGGTATGAGTTTTTGATCAGACACAAGAAGATGCTGCCTTTTGCAGTTCAGCTATGCTACAGTAACCAGCAGCATGGAATAGATTAATAGGCACTGATATCAAAGGCCTATTTTAATGACTTATTTGCTACTGTCACTTAACAAATCTATCTATATCTATCTATCTATCTATCTATCTATCTATCTATCTATCTAACAATACTATCACATAACAAAGTCTAGCCCCAATCATAGTGAGCAAACCAGTTCTTAATCACAATCCACACATCACCTTTTTTCTAACACACATCTAACTGCAAATTATATCTATCTATCCATCTATCATCTTTTTCTCTGCAGTTTTGGCGTTATGGAAATTGGGTGGAAGTTATCATTGATGACCGTTTACCAACGTACGGCAGTCAACTGGTCTTCACAAAATCCTCCCAGCAAAATGAATTTTGGAGTGCCTTACTGGAAAAAGCTTATGCAAAGTAAATATACTTTCTACACATTCCGTTTCTGTATACTGTATGCATAAGTATATTATACCCCTATTCAACTGTACATCTGTTTAAACTGAGGTAAATTAAATAATGTGTTATTCTTATAACAGACGTATATTATTCAGATGCTTTTTGATTTTGCAATAGAACAGATTCAAAAACGACCTTATACCCAAATGAAAATGAATCATCAGAGTTTATTTGGAGTGTTAATTTTGTTTTCTTGTTCCTTCTCAGGCTCCATGGCTCTTATGAGGCTCTCAAAGGAGGTAACACCACCGAGGCCATGGAAGATTTCACAGGAGGAGTAACAGAGTTCTATGAGATAAAGGATGTTCCTAAAGATATCTATAAAATCATGAAACATGCCTTTGAAAGAGGGTCACTCATGGCCTGCTCTATTGAGGTACATCCATTGATCCCAGGCCTTTTCTGGGGTTACTTTCATACCACTCATATTCAGTAAGCATAAGATTGAACTACCATTCCCATCATCCCTGGCCATTGGCCATGCTTGCTGGGGTTGATGGGAGTTGTAGATCAGCAACATATGGAGGACCAAATATTCCCCACATTTAAGTCTAAACTTGAGATAGCATTTTAGTGCTCTTATGTCACTAGTAAGCAGCACTGGTGAAAACATACATTCTTCTATCCTGTGGGCAAGAGGAAATAGAGGTATAAAAACTTGTTTTCCCAACTTTTATTAACTAATCTTGCTATTCTGCTTCATTTTTCACAATGCCTTCCTATTATTTTCCTCCCTCCCCACTTTTCTTTGTTCTAGGACAGTTCAGGGTTTATTTATGGCTCTGCTCCTGAAACTAATCTTGGATTATTAATTGCCCAAATGTTGAAGAATATGAATGAATTTCCAAATGACTCAGTCCAGCAGACAGAGGAGATGACGAAAAGGGTTTGTATTCCTTGCCAATAACCTAGGTTATTGCGTACAAACAAATCAATTTACTCTGCTCAGTAAAATCCTATTAATATTCAATAAAGTTCCAGTGAGGCTTACTCCCAAGTAAGCGGATATAGGATTGAAGCCTAACTGTGTGTTTGGCATTGGGATTTGCTGCAGAAACCGTGGGTTGCTGTGCAGTTTGCAAAGCTGCACATGGACCCTGAAACAGGATGTTCTTCTAGAATATAAATGGCAAAACATCTGTTTTATTGCCCTATTAGGAAACCTCATCTTTATCACGGGACATGCATATCAATTTGCCTTCTCCTTTTCAAGAATGTGGAATAGAAGAAAACAAAACGGAAATGGGCAGAACATGTTGTCCTTTGAAAAATTCCGCACATGACACCGTTCTTATTCTTAACATGCTTCCTCTGCATTTTACAGCTTGAGGTTCCAATGCTGTTTGAGAGACGCATGACGAATGGACTGGTGACAGGTCATGCCTATTCAGTTACAGCAGTGGAAGAGGTAAGTGCAGATGCAAAAAGTAAATGCGTTTTGCTAGGGTACAAAAAAATCATGTAGCCCACGTACACAAATTAAGTGGTTAAGCAACCTCACCTTGAAAAGAAAGGAAAATATATTCACTGGTGTCAGTCAAGATCAGAGGTGCAAATAAAGCATGTTTAGAAGAGAAAATGGGAAGATGTTAAAGGGACTCCACTAATGATAGCATCCATTCTTGTTTAAGGTGGAGTCTATAAAAGGATGCATACTACACAGGCTGGTTGAATTAATTATGTTTTCCCCCCTTCCAAGATAACATTTAAAGGGGACAAGCTAAAACTCGTGCGGCTGAGAAATCCTTGGGGGCAAGTAGAATGGAATGGAGCCTGGAGTGACAAGTGAGTCAAGCCATTTGATTTTAAAAGAGATTTTAATTTCACTTAATACACTTTGGTTCTTCTGCATGTTTACCAAAAAAGGTAAATGTCCTTTTTGTGTCCTGGTGTGAAATTCAGAAGTTAGTGATATATACGTCATTTCTCCAAAGATGCTTTAAAGCACGGGTGTCAAACACAAGGCCCGCGGGCCGAATCCGGCCCGCCAGACCTCGTCATGTGGCCCGTGTAGCATTTCCAGGATCGTGGGGTGAAACTGGCCAGGCAGCCGCGGCCCCGCTCCCCCGGGGAACGTGCCCCGTCATCCTCCGCTTCTGCCTTGCTCCCTGTGACAGTAATTCCCCAAACTGCATCAGCATCTGCCGCTTGCCCAGCAGCCCCGGCGCTGCCTTGCGCCCGGCGCCCCCGCCATCCTCGGCGCAGGGAGCGAGGGGCGTGCAGGCAGGCGCTGCCCGGCGGAGCGACGGCTCCTTCCGAGCGGCTGGCAGTGTCTGGGCATGACTGGCCTCCCGCCTGGTCCCGCGGCGGCTGCAGATGCGGCCGAAGCAGCGCAGGGAAGGAGACGCCCGGCCGCCCAGCCCAGCCCCGCACGCTCCCACTCTCTCTCGGCGGCCGGGGAGCGGGGCCAAAGCGGGCCCCCACCCGAGTGGCGGCTGCGTGAGCCAATAGGCGAGCTGGGGGAGAGGGGGAGGCAGGGCTCCGGAGAACAAAGGAGGGAGGGGGCACCCGGGAGAAGGGGGTGGGGTGGGAGGAGCGGGGAGCGCGGCGCTGTGCCCGGGACGCCCCAGTTCCGCCGGGTTAGAAGCCGGCGGCCTACCTCTGCTGGCCGTGGAAGGCAGCCGGGTCTGGGTCGCGCCCCGAGAGTGGCGGGGTCCGCGCACAGCCAGCCCTCCAGGCTGGGAAGTGGCTCCTAGGCTCCGCCTGAAGCCACGCAGAGCCCGCAAGGCGCCCTCGGCGCAACTTGGCCGGGGCAAAAGGCGAAGCTCTGGAGGGAAAGGCGGCCGGATTCCCCTCCTCGGCGGGTCCGGTGGTCTCCCGCCTCCTCTGAGGAAGGGTCTCTTCTTCAGCTTTTCTGATCCTTCGTGGCCCCGTTGGGAGAAGCCGAAATAAATAATGGTCGTGCCATTAAAGTTCTCTCTTTTATAAAAGGGATCCTAATAGAATCGTAGAGTTGGAAGGGATCCCCAGGGCTATCCAGTACTGTACAACCCCTGCAGTCCAGGAATCTCAGCCATAGCATCCATGGCAGACAGACATCCCACCTCTGCTTAAAAACCTCCAAGAAGGGAAAAACCTCCCGAGGGAGACCATTCCCCTGTTGAACAGCCCTTACCAGCAGAAAGTTCTTTCCCATGTTTAGTCAAAATCTTTATTGTAACGTGAATCCACTGGTTCGAGTCCTACCTTCTCTAATGGAAGAATACAAGCTTGCTCCATTTCCCATGCGAAATGCCCCTTAGATATTTGAAGATGGCTATCATATCTCTTCTCAGTCTCCTGCCTTAGGTTGGTGGATCGGTGGACCTCCCATGGGAACGTAGTCCAGAGGGAGCATGCCTGGACTAGGAACCCTTGACTGAATGCTGAAATCCTCACCACAGGCAGGAAACTCACTGCCATCAACAGAGGAATAGCAGCGCTTACTCCCCATGACCCTACAGTAGCTGCTGCAATAGCATTTTGACAGGCGTGTGACACCCATATCTTTATCCCAACAGAAGTGCATGCTTTTAGTACTTTCAGGTGGGATCTGTCTTGGTGGTGCATCCTGGAGGCTGCTCTTTAAAACGAAGGCTAGGGACCCTGTGAAGATTGAAGCACCCTGCCAGCTGACTATAAAAAAGCTGGAGGAACTGGGGATTATGACCTGGCCTAAGGTGGTGTGAGTGTGTATTCTGTGTCACTCCCCTCTACACTTGAGGTTCTGGCAGTGCAGTTGCTTTCCCAGGTGCCAGAAATGGTGGTACCTCCCTTCTTTGCACTAGAGCACGGGTGTCAAACACAAGGCCCGCGGGAAGTCACAGCTTGAAAAAGACAGTCAGACCTAACGCCAGACATTGATGGACTGACCTCAGGAAATCGATGTCAGCCATCTAGTCAGAAAAGTTAAAAAAAGGTTAATGCCTTGTGTTTGCCATATGTGTAATAAAAAGTGTTTGGCAATATTTGTATGTTTTTTTAAAAAAATACTGTCTGTTACCAAAAATCATTTTTCAATAAATTGTACAATAATTGTACATTTGAATATCTACTTGCCATTATTCTGACTATGTTTCTGCTTTCAGAACTAGTTATTACTTACATTATTACAAAAAACAGTAATAATTAAATGCAGTGACAATAATTTATGATAATAAAGAGCGGACACATAGTCCTACAGATACAACCGGCCCTTTGAGGGTGACCAAACTGCTGATGCGGCCCCCGATGATTTTGAGTTTGACACCCCTGCTTTAAAGTGTGCTTAACTGTTTTGAAAGAGTGTAATGCTGAGGTAAAGTGTCATCGGGTGAGTTCCTACCTGCAATGCTCATCACTCAGTGCCTGAACTACTCTACAAAGTGGTCTTTCAGTTATGCAATGGCCATGACTGATACAGTACCAGTGATGGCGCTTTTGTATTGCCTCATACCACTCAATGGCCTGTAGATTCAAGTGTGAGCCATCAAGTTTTGAGTAATCAAGTTATGTAACATGTTCACTGCTTTCCTAAACACCTGTTCTGAAAGGTAACTAACTAAATGCAGTTCACCATTTGCTGAACAAACAAAGGGTAAACTTTTAATTTCTAGATCTAGCACAGAAAAGTTTGTATGTTGATTTATGTTTTGAGAAGCGAAGCACATTTACCTTTTAAAAATCAGTTGTATACTGAAAGTTTCTTCTTCATTATATTGCAGTTCAGATGAATGGAATGTTATCAACAAAGCAGAGAAGACCCGCCTACAACATAAAGTTGCAGAGGATGGGGAGTTCTGGTAAATATCCCATGTTTCTCTCTTTCTCTCTATGCTTTTCCTTCAGTCCTATGTTTGACTCAGAATCTACTGCCTTAGATTAGTGGTTCCCAATGAGCTGTTTTTCCCCAAAGCTAAGCCATGGAACCATGCTTTTGAAAATGTGGATATATCTATGGTAATTTTTGTTATGTGAACGGTGCTACAGACAACCTAGGTGGGTTACATGGACCTCCTGGTGTCTGTGGACACCCAGTTGGGAACCACTGGTCTAGAGGCAAACCACAAGCCCTTCTCCAGATTAGTCCACTTCATAGGAGCCAACTCTTGGGGCTAAGGTCCCATTGGCTCCCCCAATAAAATATTTGAGGGGGCCGCCACCCCAAGTTGATGGGCATTCAAATGATGTGTGTGTGCAATATCATATGAATATCATTATTTGTACCCTGCCCATCTGACTGGGTTGTCCCAGCCACTCTGGATGCCTTACAATCAATGTATTGGGGAATTAAAGGTTTCTTCCATATATTTTTCTACCTCTAGGATGTCATTCCAAGATTTCCTCAGGTACTTCACAAAGCTGGAGATGTGTAATCTCACACCTGATACCCTGGTGGTTGATAAGTTTCAAACCTGGACTGTTTCAGTGACCGAAGGGCGGTGGGTGCGAGGCTGCACAGCAGGAGGCTGTCGAAACTATCCAGGTAAATAAAATATTGGTTGATTCGAATGGCATTAAAATGTTTTAAAGTCCTCTGATTAATCAGGTGGAATATTTTTTAAAAATAGGAAAAAGAAGTATTTATAAAAAGATCCATAATAGTGTCTGTCTTAGAAGAGGTATTCCTCTATCTCTCAAACGCAGAAGGGGATGCCTCTAAAATGCTGCCTCATGCAATACATGTATGTGCTTTCTAAAATCAAGGACAAGATGCCTTTTCTTTTCAAACAGTTGTGTTTGGCCAGTTTTTAAGGAGGTCATTTTTCCTTGTAAGAAACAAGGACCCATCTTCTGGGAAGAAAACATAACAGCTCTGCCCCACCCAGCTTCTTCCACGTGTGCATGTGAGAGACAGGGGTCATACCCACTTTTGGCCACTCCCACTGCTGGCACGTGATCCCAGGAGGATTGGCCAGGAGGGAATGAGGCACTCTGACCAGAAAAGTTTAGCCACCCCCGCTTTAATTGAGCATCTTATTCCAGAGAAGTGTGGAGAGCAAACATGGTGAAGCTCATAATAAAGCAGGTCTGTTTGCTTTACCCAGAGAAAAGTCTAAAGGAACATTTAAAAATGCCAAATTTCATTTTCTGAAAGAATTATATATCAAAACTGGAGGGGGGAATGATCAAAACTGGAGGGGGACTGTCAATATAACTGTTTTGAGTGTTAAAATATTACTTCAAATTTGAATGTTTTGGGGTGGGTTGCAGACACATTTTGGACCAATCCTCAATACCGCTTGAAACTCCTGGAAGAAGATGATGACCCAGAAGACGACGAAGTTGCGTGCAGTTTCCTAGTTGCGCTGATGCAGAAGAACAGGAGGAAAGAACGCAAGCTGGGAGCCAAGCTCCTCACTATTGGCTTTGCCATCTATGAGGTAGCATAGTCATCACACTGCCATGTTACCTGTTGCCTCAGTTAGAATTGAACAATAGAACTGGTCAAGTTCTGGCCCCAGTGATACATGCTCCTCTCATAGCCAGCTGACTGTATGTGAAGCAAGCTGTGAAAGGGGAATATTGCAGTAGTCTGCTTTTAAACATCACACTTATAAAACATGACATGAGCTACTTCAGAAATATTATTTTTGTAGACAGTAGACCCTTGCATAATGCCTATATAACAGCCTTTGCCAGTTTCATGCCCTCCAGATGTTTTGGACTAAAATGCCTATCAGTTGTGCTGCACTGGCTGGAACTGATGGTGAAAATTGGCCCACAACATAGAAGAAATCACAAGTCCTTGTATAATTGCGGAATTAAAAGAATAGTTCCCAGTTTACCTATCTACTTAGTGGTTTGTTGCTTCCCAAAGATTGGCTTTTGAGGCAACGTTTGAACCAGCTTCTTATTGATTTTGTCCCTTACTTATTAACTTTAACTATCAATTTGATTAATTTTGGAAAGAGCCCAGGGCCACACATAGGCAGGGGCATTGTCTTATATACTGCCCTAAGTAAATGAAACACAGAAGCTGCTACTTAGATTTTCACTGAGCAGATGTTTGTCAAAGCTGTGAACTTAAGCTGTGGGTGATAGATGTAAATAAATATGCAATAAGCTTTCCTCCATCCATTCCTAATGGCATTTCTACCTTGTTTTTATCTCAGGTGCCAAAAGAGGTATGAACAGAATGAAGAAAGACCTGGTGGAACATTCTCAAATATCTTCTCGGTTTAACATTCTCAAATATTACTGCTTTTATGCTTCTCTGTGACTGCTGTTTGGAAGTGTCCAGTCATGTTTCTTAATAGTGACTTGCCACAAATGTGAAGGGTGGATTTGCACATGTCTTAGACATTTGTATTTTTCCTGTATCAGGCATCCCAAGCCATGCGCTCAGATACACATGCAAGAGGTAATATCCAAGAACACACATAACAATATTAAAAGGGGAAAGTGTTACCAGAAATGAAAGGTGTGGAGTATTATATGTAGAAAAATATCTCTATGGTTTCATTGAAAATATGAGAATGTGTTTTATATGTAACTACATAGAATCTGGAGAAATCACTCAAGTAGAGATACAACCTGTCACATACTTTTAAATAAATGTCACCCATCATTTGATAGGTAACGTTCCTAGATAATGTGAGTAGCTTGCAATCCTAAACCACCCTTCAAGTTTCATCACATGGAAGGAAGGTTTAAACAGGTCATCTGTAGCCATCATGACTAAATCCCATTGAAACCAGCGGAAGCAGTTATGGCCAACTAGATAGGATGCAAGAAATTCTGATCTGGGGTTTCTTGTTTTTCTTCAAAGCATCTGCATTGGGCTTATTAATTTGTTTGGGGAAGTGAGAAATGGGCAGGATGGAATATTCAACCACCCAGAGCAGGTCGGCAAAAGTACAACATCTGTTGCAACATCACTTTCCCAAGCAAACGAGCAAGCCCATGTGCCTGCAGTGAATTAGAAAGAGAAGATCCTGATCAAATATCTTTTACACTATATCCAGTTCAGCTCTTAGTCACATCTATCTAACCATAGCTGGATTGCGGCAATGTATTTAGGTGCAATACATTGCCAAGTGGTCAACGGAGCTCTGCTGTCTGTTTTTAAGCATGCCGTTTGAAAGTTCTGGGGCGTACACAGTTTTTTGTTCCGCAATTTATTGTTTTTGTTTACAGATGCAGGGTGACAAGAAGCATTTACAGAAGGATTTTTTCCTCTACAATGCCTCCAAAGTAAAGTGCAAGAGCTACATAAACATGAGAGAGGTCTCCGAACGCTTCCGGTTGCCTCCAAATGAATATGTCATCATCCCATCCACGTATGAACCTCACCAGGAGGGAGATTTTATCCTAAGAGTTTTCTCAGAAAAACAAAGTCATTCGGAGTAAGTATTCCAAAACATTTATAAAAATAGAATTATTATACTTTTTGAGTGTTTGGAGTGTTTCGTGCCTAAGAACACAAGAAGAAAGCCACTGGATCAGATCTAAGGCCCATCTAGTGCAGCAGCCTGTTCTCCCAGGAGCCAATCAGATGCCTAAGGGAAAGCCCAGAAGCAGGACCCGAGCACAATAGCCCTCTCTCCATGTATCATTTCCAGCAACTGGTATTCAGAGGCATACTGCCTCAGGCAGTGGAGATGGAACAATATATCCCCCATGAATTTGTCTTATTCTGTCTTAAAACCAACCAAGTTGGTGGCCATCACTACATCTAGCAGAAGAACCTTCGACACTTTAACTATGTCCTGTGTGGAATAATGCTTCCTTTTGTCTGTCCTGAATCTTCCAGCATTCAACTTAATTGGATGGCCCATGATTTCCGTGTTATTTTTCTATTATTATTATTATTATTATTATTATTATTATTATTATTATATGATTTCAAATGTTATTCTTCACATATTGCAGATGGGGATGGCTGAGGCAAAAATTATTTTCCTCAGGCAGGGGTAGGTAACCTTTTTTTTTAACCTGAGGGCCACCTTGCCTTATAGAGAACTTTCCAGGGGCCACATGGCAATGCTGGGTGGGGCAACAAGGGTGGCATATTGTAAAAGGGTGTAGCATATTGTAAAAAGTTGCACTACCTCTGTTGCCTCACCTGACAATGGCATGTGGCATCTGGAAGGTTCCCTATAAAGGAATGTGTCCTGTTGGCTGAAAAGTCACCTGGAGTCAAAAGCCAAAGGTTTCTATACTCCCATCTCATTATCTTCCATCCAGGTAAACAGGAGATGTTATCACATTTCAAAGACACATTCCAGCCAGGCAGAACACTTGAAGAGGGTGTGGTAGACCAGGGCTGTGGAGGGCTGTGGCCTAAGGAGAGTCCTGAGGACCAAATAGAGCAACCTGAGGGGCCACATTTGGCCCCTGGGGCCTAAGGTTCCTCACTCCTGATCTAAGACCACTCCGTGGGTAAAGTAATACTGGAACCAGGGATTTTGCTGCACCATCTCATTACACAAAGGCAGCAAACTCTTTGTCCCCCTGTCCATCATGCTGTGCTCTTTTGTTATACACCTGGATTAGAATGATTGCAATCTAAGGCTGTCATTTGATGCACACTTACCATTGAACACAGTGGAACTTGCTTATGAGAAAACATGAATAGAATTGTGCTGTGTACAAAGAAAGGCTGCTTAAAACCAAGCCTGGCTTCTCTATTGAAACGTGTCATCATGCAGTGCTTTCCAAGCCAAGTAAAAAGATGCACATCATAGAAATATCTTATCCCTCTTCCCATCGTTACTCCCTTTACTCAACCCTTTCAATTTTACAGGGAAGTTGAAAACGAGATTGAAGTAGGACATCTTTCTGTGAGTACATTGTCTTTGACGTTTTCCCTCTTGGAGCCCTTGGTTGATTTGTCAAATGGCACGAAAGGTTATAACTGATGCCACTCTGTCAGACTCTATTGCCTGTTTCTAAACTTCATTGCAATTGTGGTATTGCTGCTGTTTGTGCTGTAGAATGGCTGCAATACCAGAAATGTACAAACTTGCCGTGTGTTTTTAAAACACACATATCAGAGTGATGAAAAACCCACCCCTGAGCCTTCTTTACTCTCAGCTTATTAATATTATTTCATTTACTGTGTGGGTGTCTAACTGACAAATCTGATGGCACCAGGGTGTGTGATGATGAGCCAATATGTAGACTGTGCTTTGTGAATTCACTGCCCTCTTTCTAACTGCCACGCTCTGATTTGCTGCTGCTTCTCCACTTCTTCTTCACCTCTCTCTCTAGCCAATCATATTTGTCTCAGACAGAGCAAACAAGAACAAGGATCCGAAAGGTGATGATGGGCCTAAAAAGGACAAGGGGAAAGCAAGCACAGATAAGAAAAAGAAAAGTGATGAGGTTTCTGTATCGGTCAGCATGAGGAAAGCTGTGTGTGCTCTAACTAGCATGTCCACGTGGCTGAACAGGGTCTAAACCTGGTCACACTGCAAGCATGCGGCTTCAGATATAATATTTGCCTCCTTCGGAAAACATTTCCTTGGGAGAATTATTCCTTACAGAGGAAACAAACATAATGCTCATGACCCTGTAAAGCTTAGTCAAACCATGGTTTAGCATGAATAACCAAATGTGCAGGTTTCCAGAGCAAAAGATTGTGGTGGTACAGCTGTGCTCCATCTCCCCCACCCTGGTTCTGCTGCTGCGATGCTACCTGAGGCTAAGTCCTTGTTTGACTTAGTATTACGACCAAGCCCCCTTCAGACAAACCATGAGTGGCAAACCAAGAACAAATCTTTGGTACAACTCATAGTTTGTCTGGAATGAGACAAACCATGAGCACAGGTTCGGGCATAAATAACAGTAAGTCAAACCATGGTTTAGCGCCAGCAAGAGAACAACCAGTGAAGTAGAAACAATCCTTACTCTGGGAACCACGGAGCCTGGTGTTATGCATGTTTACACAGCAGTAAGTCCCACCATTATCAATGGGAGTTATTCCTAAGTATGTGTCCATAGGATTGCAGCCTTAGAAAGTGCTGAGGCATCAAACAAAGCACCTTTGACAGGTCCATGGACAGAGTAGCTCCCAAAGAAGTAACCAAAAATAGGAGGATGGGAAGAGCCCTATTTGGGGGGGGGCTGACTTGGGACCTCTCCAGAGGTCCTGCGAAAGGTTCGGGGTAGACACATTGCTTTGTTTCTGATCAGTGCATGTCCTGTAACTTCCTGCTAAAATCCTGTTACTTTTTATGCCACAAACGGCCTGGTTTATTTCCTGTCCCACTTTTATTGCGCTATAGTGACAGAGTGCCCCTCCAGCAATAATGTGGTAACACTGGAGAAGCATTGCAGAACAAGTAATAAAGCAGAATGATGTATGGATGATCCAGTATAAATCAACCTCTAAGGCCCTATTATTGAGTTAATGGCATGTTGCAGAAATCACCCACCCAGATATAAACTCAGAATGAAGTGTCATTTGGCTGAATTGCAAGGAAGCGTCCCAATAAACCATCTTTTCTCTTCCAAAAACTCATTGATCATTAGTTTCATTTCAATCAATCCTTTGCATTTTGTATCTTTGCAGCCTGCACAAAGAGATTCCAAGGAGAGTGAGGAAGAGAAACAGTTCAGAAATATTTTCCGGCAGATTGCTGGAGATGTGAGTACACAACTGATTCTATTTTGTGTCAGACCAATACTGGCAACTTGTAAATAAATACATAAATAGTTTATCCATTGCCTTAACCCATGTAAAGCTAATTGCAGAATATTTGAAAGTCTGTATCCTTCCTGTCAGTGCAAATTTAGGGCTGAATGAAAATGGCCCCCCAAAATTATCCACCCTATTTGCAGGTGGCAAAACTGGGGGTGGCACAGCTTCCCTCTACTCCTGTTCCACCCTTACAAAGGAAGATGCTTACTTTTCATAACTCCAGTTGAATAATCTAGATAAAGTCTTCAAATTAAAATGATTCAGACTATAAGTATAAATTCTGCTAGGTCTGCTAGTCTGAATTGTCTCAAAATATTTTTGTGTGGTAAAATGACCTGTCCTTAACAGAGCAGCTTAGTTTCCAATGTACCCACTGTCTCTTGTCATACATCTCTGGTTAATTGGAATTTCATGTTTGAGGTAGGCTATATGAAGGGACGCGGGTGGTGCTGTGGGTTAAACCACAGAGCCTAGGGCTTGCTGATCAGAAGGTCGATGGTTCGAATCCCCACAACAGGGTGAGCTCCCGTTGCTCAGCCCCTGCAGTTCGAAAGCACATCAAAGTGCAAGTAGATAAATAGGTACCGCTCCGGCAGGAAGGTAAACGGTGTTTCCGTGCGCTGCTCTGGTTTGCCAGAAGCGGCTTAGTCATGCTGGCCACATGACCCGGAAGCTGTACGCCGGCTCCCTCGGCCAATAAAGCGAGATAAGCGCCTCAACCCCAGAGTCGAGTCGGCCACGACTGGACCTAATGGTCAGGGGTCCCTTTACCTTTATAGCATATCTATATACACTGATCCAGTTCACAAGTTCACAAACAATCATGAGGGTTATTGGGGTGAAAATTCCTCTTCTACACAACTACAATAATACATTGGAGCTCTGTCCTCTTTTCCATCTGGTTATCATACACAGCCTGCTCTAATTTTGAATTAGGCCACCTTCTCTGTCATGTTAGAAGTTCACTTTTAAATGCCTAAGTACATTTCCTTTGTCCACATGTGCATGCACACATTCCTGCTGTGGAAAGAGATTGGACCTGCCATTCTTGCAACTTTTTACTCCCTGATTAACTTTTACCACTTTCTTGCCCCCTTCTTTTCCTCACAGGACATGGAGATCAGTGCTGATGAACTCCAGAATGTCCTCAACAATGTTCTGAAGAAACGTAAGCTTGGTTTCCCTTTCCATCCTTCTATTCTGCCTGCCAAAAAAATTTACCAAACCCTGGGGTTTTGCACGAGTATCACTTCTTTGCTTACATTTTTTTAAATAAAAAACAAATTTAAATTTCTATACTGTACCGCCCTTCATCTGAGGATCGCAGGGCAGTTTACAATACAAAAAACACAAAAATACATATTAGCAAACAAAAACAATACCTCCCACAATTTAAGAGACCATAGATTATTTAATGATGTAATGTATTTATGTTCACACTTTTAAATGTAAGTCACTTGGATACCTTGTTAATGAGCAACTAATAAATCATCATCATCATAAGTCTTATTTGAAGATATTTTTAAAAATATGGATGAAGGTCTTCCAGAAGAGTAATAAATTCCTCTTAGTCAATTATATGACTAATTGATGCTAGGCATCAGTTTGCAAATGTTTAGAACATTCTTCTGTTGCCAGAATCTTAAATCACCTAATAGTTGTGAAGTATTGGTTGTCAGTTTGTTTTTATTATATGGTGCGAATGACACCGGTGACCATCGCAGACTTAACAGTTGCTGGTGTTTAATCCAGACCCTTAAAGTAGTTGCTATAGATCAAAGTACATTTGGGCTATGTAAGGAGTTTCTTGGTCTGTGCCGTAATAAATGCCAAGGTTTGTTTCTCAAGCAGACCTGCTCTGCTATTAGTCATGGACCCGATTAACTGACCAATAAAACATGTGCAATTATATATTAATGTTTATCTAATTTAACCCAATTATTTTAGACCAGGACCTGAAGACAAAAGGGTTTGCGCTGGAGTCCTGCCGCAGCATGATTGCTTTAATGGACGTATCCTTTTCAAATCATGCACAATCACTTCATATTGCAATACTGCTCCTAGAAGCATAGAATTGTAGAGTTTGAAGGGGCCGCGAGGGCCATCTAGTAGGTCAACCCCCTGTAATGCTTCACTGTGCCTTATCAATGGGTAGTCAGGCCATATAGAGGTATTGAACAGGGAGGAGAATTCTGCAAGGAGCTTCCGGAGCTGACAAGAGCGAGAACTACCTGCAAGCTTGGCTCAAAGAAACAGTAACCAACTGAAATTTAGTACAGTGGTACCTTGGTAGTGGAATGCCTTAGTTGTCAAATAAATCGGCTCTCGAACGTCTCAAACCCGGAAGTGAGTGTTTCAGTTTGCGAACATATCTTGGAAGCCAAACGTCTGACGCGGTTTCCGCGGTTTCCGATTGGCTGCAGGAAGCTCCTGCAGCCAATCAGAAGCCACACCTTGGTTTCCGAACTGTCCCGGGAGTCGAACAGAATGGAACGGATTAAATTTGAGAACCAAGGTACGACTGTATTCACTTTATCATATATTTATAATTATAATTAATAAAAATATATAAAAATATTACTTTTGTTATAAAAATATATCCTTCTCTCTAGTTTTGTGCTATGTCTAAAATAGCACTGTTACTGATTTATAGATAAGGGGGGGTGAATGATTTGTGGTAAAGAAAAGCTGTTTCTCCTCTTACTGAAGAAAGTCAGTCAAATAGGTGGCTAAGTAGGAGATTTTATTCACTTTTTCTATCTCTGGACATTAAATCCTTCTCAGTTGGATATCATTTATCACCTCCTACGCCCCCCCCCCAAAGAAGTCAGACTTTGTTCACTATATTTACTTTTTATTTTTAACTAAACAACATCACAGACAGATGGTTCTGGGAAGATAAACCTTGATGAGTTTCGACACCTTTGGAATAAGATTAAGAGCTGGCAGGTATTCTTTGTTTCTTGCATATTTTGAAAGATAGAGGGTAAACTAGCTTGTGAATGTCAAAGTCTACACATAGCACGCCAAAATTGAACCACAAAAGATGACTGGGTTCCTCTCTACATCATTTCATTCTTTTTTTTTCTTTTCAGACCATTTTCAGACATTATGATACTGATCAATCAGGAACTATTAACAGCTATGAGATGCGTAATGCAGTTAAAGATGCAGGTATCACACAGGGATCAATGCTATATATTGCTTAAAGAGCATTTTTATTCCTATTTTGTCTTTGATAAAGTAGGTTATATCCAACTAAGTCATTCTCAGATTAGACCCATTAACAAAGACCTACGTTAGATATGTCCATTAATTTCAATGGCTCAACTCTGAGTAAGACTTACTTTGATTCAACACTATGCTTTTGTTTTAGCAGGAAACATAGAGAAAGGGGACCTGGGACCTTCCAGAACTTTCTAAACTCCTACCTTCCTTTACCATTGGCCAAGCTTGTCTGGGGCTGATGGAATCTGGAGTTTCCCATTACTTATCCAAGTGATATTACCTCTAAAAAAAGGTCAGAGAATAGACAAAAGCAAATTCCTATCACCCAGGACGTTCCATTTTGTTTCTCTCCGCAGGGTTTCACCTGAATAACCAGTTGTATGACATCATTACAATGCGATATGCTGACAGAAATATGAACATTCAGTTTGACAGCTTCATCTGTTGTTTTGTGCGACTAGAGGGGATGTTCCGTGAGTATTTTTTAAAATGTATTTAAAATGGTTTTATCCAAGGAGTGCCCAAGGAGGTGTAATAAGCTCCATACCACATGGAAATGTTCCGATTGATTCCAATGCATGCATGTAATGTGGACAGTTGAGATGTAAACACTCTTCACAGCCAGGAGGCCTTTCTGGGTTTTGGAAAGCTCGCCTTCAGAATCATTCCAAACTTTCCTTGTTTGTGTTCTACCTGCTGGTTCATTTACTTATCCTCTAGCCTTTAGAGGCCCTAAGTACTTAAAAGGTTTTGGTGCACCCATATTCAAAATATAAACACGTGAGCCTTGGTGGACCAAGTGGCATTAACTCCAAAATTAATGTGTATTATTAATTTATAAATAATATATTTGTTGTTGTTGTTGTTGTTTTCCTTTTTATTGGGGAGGTTGCCTTTTTCCTCCAGCTGCACCATATGGTCCACGGTAAATCTGGCAATGGAAAATTTATGTGGTGCCCCCCTTCCCTTGATGTCCTAAGCCAGGCACAGGCAAACTCCGGCCCTCCAGATGCTTGGGACTACAATTCCCATCACCCCTAGCTAACAGGACCAGTGGTCAGGGATGATGGGAATTGTACTCCCAAACATCTGAAGGGCCAGAGTTTGCCTATGCCTGTCCTAAGCACATGTTTATTTTGCTTAATGGTTAATCCAGCCCTGCCTCAGCTCAACACCATACCAAGGAAAAGAATGGGGAAAAGGCGCTAGAAACAAGCAGTATGTCCATATTGACTGTTAGTTTTTTTAACATTATTAATCTCTTGAGAGGAAAGGGCAATCCTGAAATAAAATTATTCGAAATTGCTATGCCATTTTTTATTCAAATTTTGTTGTTGTTGTTTTTGCTTTTGCCATTCTGTTTGAAGATTAGCTTTCAAATATGGCAGCTATCAGGATCTTCCAAGCTTACTAATATCATTGCCGATATTTATGAATTCCTAGCACATACATCACACTGTTCAGGAGATGACTGGTATTTGTTTCTAGCATTTGAAACACTGAAGTTCTTGAAACCTCACAGTTCTGAGGGCTGCTGTCTAGTTTGCTAGTCGGAATGCTCTATATTTTACATGGATTGACCGTATGCTTTGTTTTCTCCTGTCCCCTTAGGTGCATTTCATGCCTTTGATAAAGATGGCGATGGTATTATTAAACTGAATGTCTTAGAGGTAACCACTTTTACTTTGTGTTGTGCTTCAGTTTACAGCTGTACTGTTCCAGTTTTTCTCCTTAATGAGGGGGCATACTAAAAAGAATAGGAAGACTGAAGAAAAAATCAGTTTGGGGGCTGATTCTCATGTTGCATTTCCTCCTAAATGTAGGTATGCATGCATGTTTGTATTGTGCACCCATACAGAGGTATTGGGAGCAAGAAATAAACACCACCTTTTGTGGGTTTAGCAAGCTCACACCTATCTTGTTTATAGTAGTGTAACCCAATTGGGCATGACATGATATCTAGCAGCCCAACTGCTAGCCCATACCAAGTCCAAGTGTGGGGAGAGTTGACCATTCAGTTGGGCCCCTCAAGAAACCTGAGAGTGTTGCTGTCCACAGCCTCCAATATAATTTTAAATCTGACCCAGTCCATGTTTACTCAGAAGTAAATCCCACTGTGTTTAACGGGGCTTGCAAGTGGAATGATAAACTTAGGAAGGTTACACAGATAGCCTAACGATAGTTCTGCACTTTAAACATTGCTGTTGTCACTTAACATTTCTCCCTTCCTTCCAGTGGCTGCAGCTAACCATGTATGCCTGAAAAACATCACTTCTGCGTCTGTCTTCCGTCTCAAAATTGCACCTTGTCTTTTGAACTGAAAGAAGCTGGTCGATATTCACTTGCAAGACAGGGACTTCTGTGAATCTCCATCCTTTAACAGCTTAGATGGTGAGGGCAGCACAACTCGAGAGGAACATAAGGAAGCAGCATCTATCTCCCTTTACCAAGTGACAGTAAATTGAAAATGTACTTTTCCAGTTATTGATAACTGACACCAGGACGAAGGCATATTTTGCATCAGAAAGTTGCAGCCATCACTGTGGTGGGAAATGCATTGTTCTAGGGCACGCCGGCAATTCTTAACAACAGGGGTGGTGAACCTCAGGCCTGCAAACCTGAATCTGGGCCTCTTTATCCAACCCTTGGGGCTCCTCACCTCCACAACATGCCTCAGCAGCCCTGCTCCATGCTCTGTGCTTAAGTGCTTTTGCCTGGCTGGAATATGCCTGTGAAATGTGATAATGCCAATTGCTTGCCCAGATGCAGCATGGAGAAATGCGTCTTGAGGATGTGCGTTGAAATCTCTGACTCGCGTTCTTGAAATGTAGATGCTGTATACAAAGGTAAGAGCTGCCCTGTTACTCTGCCCACCACTGACATGTTGACCCAGAAGGTGTTTTTTGAAAAGGTGGGTCCTCCCTCCTGGCATTGCAAACACACTGCAAACAACAACTACTGTTTTAAGCTTGAAATATTTTGCAGTAAGAGATCCAAAGGGGCCAGGAATCTTGGACAAGTTATCATTATTAAAACAGTTATTTCTAAAGTCACCTAAAAGCGATGGATCTAGCTTTTAATGGAATTCAATGTTGCACTAAGGCAATTGTTCCGTTAGAGAAGCATTTTGGTTTGCTACCTATGACAATTCTTTCCTTTTCTCCCTTCCCACACTCAAGCCAATCTCAGAGGAAGGGCAGTAGAAAGAAAATGTCTGTTGGGCAAGCAGAGGTCCTTGTGCAGGACCTCTGGTGACAGGACTCATCAGTTGAATCCCACCCAATGTACTTAAAAAGAACATGCCTCTTAATATTTAGCTGTGTGATAAATGTTTGCATCCTGCAGTCATATCTAAGCTACATTATTCCTGTGGCCAAAGCTTCCCACTCCAAAAGCATCATTCAGTAACCAGATGTATGACTGCATACAGTTGAGTACATTTGCTTACAGCACTAACCAGGCTGTTATCTAAGGTGTGGAACCTCAGCCTGGGGGCTAAATGTGGCCTTCTAGATCTCTGTATATGGCCCTTGGAATTTCCCCCTGGTCACAGCCCTCTCTTGCCCTGCTTCACACTCTGTTTTTGCCTGCCTAGAATATGTCCTTGAACACTGATGCCTCATGCTGGTGGCTGGAGGACAAAGACAGGTGCATGAACATGTGTAGAAACTAACTATACAAAGGTAACATTTACATGTTTCTCTGCGCATGTTTGCCTCTGGCTCCACCCTCCACAAGCCCGTGACTCTCTGGCTGAAAAAGCTTCCCCATTCCTCCTACAGGGATCCTGGCTGAGCCTGTAGTCTTGCAAATCTTCTAAGGCTGCAGAAAAATGTGCTCCTCTAGCCACATTATGGCTTTTTTCAGGTCCAGGCTTAAATATTACACCTTGGGAGAATTGACTGTCTTAATTCAATGTTGGTTCTCTTGCAAGTAAAACCTACCACAGACAGCTGCATCTCCAATATAAGCAATTTTAGGCTGCTTCACACAAAGCTTTTTCCTACACAGGAACAGTTTATGTGGCAAGAAATGGTTTAAAGGTATCTGGTACTGCATGTGTTTGGCAGGCACAGCCTCCCTATTACAAAAATACCTTGTGTAGAGTGGTTTCATTGCTGAATGAAACTTCTTAATGCATAAATTAAAACTTGTCTAGATGTGCTGGGTTGAAATTATGATGATGTAATACAAGGGTAGGCAACCTAAGGCCCAGGGGCCAGATGCAGCCCAATCGCCTTCTAAATCGCGTGGTTTTACATGAGTAGAATGTGTCCTTTTATTTAAAATGCATCTCTGGGTTATTTGTGGGGCATAGGAATTCGTTCATTTCCCCCCTCCAAAATATAGTCTGGCCCACCACATGGTCTGAGGGACGGTGGACCGGCCCAAGGCTGAAAAAGGTTACTGACCCCTGATGTAATACATCTGACAAAAGCTACAGAGCGTACTAAGGCTACAAAGGTATCTAGACAGCCACAACTGGAAATATTTTAACAGTGCCATCCAATAAACTTTTCTGCTTATGTTCTGAGTTGCTGTCATCTTTTGAGAATAAGAACAGCCCTGCTGGATCTATAGTCCAGCATCCAAATCAGACCAGTAGCCATCTGGATGCTCATGGGAAGCCAAGAAATAGAACTTGAACATAATAGTCCTCCCTTCCCCCAGTTTCCAGCAGCTGGCATTCAGAAATATGCTGCCTTCAACCATGGAATAAATAACAGTAGGGCCATCCTACTACCTATTGATAGTCTTAGCCTTCATGAACTTCTCCAATGCCATCCAAGTTGGTGGCCATCCCTCTAAGGAGTGAGTTCCATAGTTTAACTATGTGCTTTCATTTATCTGTCGAAAGATTCTTGCCAAATCCCACATCAAAGAACCACTTTTCTGCTCTTTCTACCCACACAAATCATCCCAGCAAGCCAGCTAAAACACTTTTACAGAAGTGGGATCAGAAGAATAAAGGCCACACCATATTTCTCTTGGTACAAAGTAATTTTTATTGTCTGTTTTGTTTTTTTACTTCACAGCTTTGTAGTAAAAAAAAGGAAAGGAAAGACCAAGTCACTTTGTGCATATGAGCCACACAGGTCATCCAACTGAAACAAAATGAGTTGCGAAAGCTGCCAATACATTTGTTATAGTGTGTATTACCGATGCAGTTTCTCACACCAATCTGTTCTTGCCTCACAAGGTATATTATATAATTTGAGACATCCTAGTTGTGTTAAGATCATAGCACTGCACATGAAGGAAAATGAGAAGTTTGTACTTTTGTCATACAATGCTATATGAAAGCCATCCTGCTAGGACCCTAAAGATCTAGGAAGGGCAAGTTAGCTAGCGGTTGCATTGCTTTCATACTGATCTTTAACTAACTGCCACTCAAGGTGTAAGAGCTCTACAAATATGAATCTAGAACTTGCATTTTTAAAGACAACCATAAAGCTTGAACATAGGCTTATAGTCTACTTGACATTTAGGATAAAATCCAGAGCCATTAAGATGGGAGTTTAACTACTCCATTCAGGTGGGATGTGGACTGTCACTTTTGTGTTTTGATTTAACATTACAGAGGTCTATTCCTTCGAGCCCAAGTATTTGTCTCAAGGGGCAAACAGAAGCTGGGGTAGCCAATGACATTCAGTTGCATTTAACGGCACAAAAGAGGCAAACAGCTGAATAGCTGTGCCAATTCCCTGAAAGGTGATATGCAAACCATTCCCATGCAGCATAGCTGCAGCACACACCAAACACACACTTGCATCCAATCAACAAGATAAATGGCATTAAAAAAAAAATCTACTGCATTGGGAAACGGCGCTGGCAATGCAGTCCAAATTCACTTCAGATGCAGCAACACAACAGCTTACTCAAACAGTAACACATACATTAACACACTTTCCACACAATTCAAGAACACTCCACAACTCCCCCTCTAGCCACTTCATTTCTATCTATTTCCTTTCCAAGACTAGTTCCCCGCCCCCCACAAAAAAAAAAAACATGCACAATGTTTCTCTTTCAAAATTTTCAAGATAATTTCAACTTACATGTGGAATGGTGCCAGAAACCCAGAACCGAAAACGTGACGGAATACATCATCCTGATGTACCCATTTCACCATTCCTACAATTAACAAATTACTACTATCCTTTCTGTCCCCATGCTTTTGGCAGAATCTGAAGGAAGAACCTCAAGAGAACAGAACCTCAAACCAAAAAACTAAAATATTCCTGAACTAAAAAGAAAAAGAAAAATACAATCTGAATGAAGAAACTCTGCAGTTCTAGGGAGAAATTACTGCAGTGAACTGAAGCAATGGGACCGTCTATCGTTTTATAATAAATTATGAACATGTGGCATGGTTTAGAACAGTTCTTCTCAAATAAAGACAAACATATGGAACCAACTTTTGTTAAGACATGACTCAACCTTATTGCTAAACCAATTTGAAAATTATCTAAGGCAGTATTCCCTAACATGGTGCTTTCCACTTGTTCTAGACTACAATCATCCCTGATCATTGGCCATCTGGCTGGGGGCTGATGTTGCAGTTCAACACATCTGGAGGGCACTATGTTGGAGAAGGCTGATCTAAGCATCCCAAAACGGATTAAAGGAAAATCTGTCTTCACATTCACCTTAAAAACACACACATACCTCTTATCTACTAAAACAACCAAGAACGTAAGTAAATAGTGCAAGTTGTGCATCACTTGCAACAATTTAGTAAAACACACACACTTAAGTATACATTTTTGCCAAAAAAGTTACCATCCTCTTCCAGTAAAGAGAAGAACCTTTGAGGACGATGCAAAATTAAAATCCATTCACTGACTAATCCTCAAGACAAACACTGCACTCCACATAATTTTCTTACACTCTCCCTGGCTCTGCAATTTCATTCCAATCACATTCAACTAAGGCAGATATAAAAACAATCCTTTTTTATAAAACACACACACACACACACACACACACACTTACGTGCTCCCATCTATGGACTGAATGCGCTAACAATCTGCTCACTTTATTATTTATTTCTGATGGTCTCATTGTGAGAAAAGCTCTCAAAAATGGCAAGAGAAAACAACACGCCTCAGAAATCTCCGGCAAACAGATTGCAGGTGGTTACCACTATTCATTGGAAAGTTTTCCCCTCTTCAACAACAGAACCCTAGCGCAAGCTGGTTTGAAGACAGTTTGGACATGTGTGAAAGGCAGAAGGAGAACACTGTATCTTGAGACAGAGATGGTGATTTCAAAGGGAGAACTTGTTTCACTTCTCTGCTAGCACAATTTCTTAAGATCATGGAAGCCAGATTTGTAGGTATTGGGGTGGGGGGGGGTGATATTCCTTTGATGGTCTGTTTCACTCATCAAAAAGCTAAGGCTTAAAATGCAGTAAGAATACTGGAGTGTGTTCCAAAAGTCCTTAATATCTCCAAGTTCTTTGGCAAGCTGGCAAGCTGAAATGCAATCTCCAGCTGTAGGCCTGTTCTATATCTTATACCAGGCATCCCCAACCTGCGGCCCTCCAGATGTTTCAGCCTACAACTCCCATGATCCCTAGCTAGCAGGAACAGTGGTCAGGGATGATGGGAATTATAGTCCAAGACATCTGGAGGGCTGAAGGTTGGGGATGCCTGTCTTACACCAAGCTGCTGAGAACACTTTCCCTATGGGAGCATTAACTTTCACTTTTTAAATGCTGATTTCAAACACACATTGCTCTTTTAATATGTATGCATAATCTGAATTAAGAAAACTGAAACAAGTCAAGACCTACACAGCCAGACAGCTCTAGATTGTTATTGAGAATTCCAGTTTTCCTCTGAAACGATCCAGAAAAAGACTGAAGCCAATGAGAACAAAAACACTGGCTGAGACCAAACTTTATGAACCAAACTAGGAACTGCTGCCTCAAAAAACCCCAAACACCACTGCGCATATGCACATTTCTTTCCAACGCACATGCACACCTTTCATTTCTTTGCATTGTGACTACTGTTTTAAAACTACATTAGTTTCTCAGGTTGCTACTTCCGTCATTATGCACCAGACGGTGGCAAAACACACACACACAGACACACACACAGACACACACACACACACACAATACTCTCAGCTTCTGCTTGGGCTCCTTGGACTTCACAATTTTGCATTTTATACCCCACAGCATTTTCTGTTGCATGGTAACGTTCAATCATGTAGTCATCAGAAACAAAACCAGATTATAGTAGGAGACGATGGCCATCCAAAAGCTGCATTGAAAATACAGGATGCTGAACAGAAAGAAGTGGACACTCCAAAAACTCAGCAATTTAAAAACACCACAAGGTCATCCATTTACAAAACAAGCTCTTAAGAATCAGGGGCATAGTCCCATTAACGTGGTAAGAAAGCACTGGATGCAAACATATAGATAACGAATGTTTAAAAGCTGAAATCATTATCTGCAGTCGTCTTTTTGCATCAACGTGCTTATCAATATAAAAATAACAAAAAAGTTCCATTAAATCGGTAATACCCCCTAAGTTATAAGAGTGCACCCAATGAAATCAATGGACTGAAGTTACTTCATTGATTTCAGCAGGTCTATTCAGAGTTAGAGTAACATTAACTATCACCCAATGTGTTTAGAAAACAGCTATTTTGCTGTTTAAGCAATGCAGTATTTTGCACCTCATCACAAACCTCTTTGTAACAGATACAGAGAGGTACAAGGACTGTGGCAACTCACTGCGCCGATGTGGCATTTGGAATTTAAGATAACCCACTGAAGATCAACCAAAAATAAAAAAGGAATCCATTTCTTCTAATATTCCCCATTAATATCTTTCATCAAAAGATGTTATAATGAAAGGAAATAGAGAGCTGAATGCTTTGTTGGTATTTCTAGTCTGAGTTGTTGTTTCTTTATTTAAATTGTTTAAAGACAGAAGTGTAAAATGCCTGGGCAATCCTGCGTACAACATAAAAATAGATGGCTCAACAGTGTTTTTTAGGCACCAACGTGAGTACTAATAAAGGCTTAGATGTGCACAATGTACTTCTTTGATAGGATAACAGGAATTTTTTGTTTGTTTCTGCTAACAAATTAAAACAATTTGTTTGGTCTGAGTCTGTTCATCAATCCCTTCTCTATAGAGTTGCAAGCAAAATGCTGTCTCTGTAGCAAAGAAAGAAAAGAAAAGAAAACAGCCCACGTCCTTTTTGCAGTCCAAATATAAACTGAAGGTGGAAAAAGGAGAGGGCAAGAGGTGGACAAGGCATGGAATACTTCCAGTATATAAAAGGTACTTCCCAATGTGGGAGGCAAAAAAAACAAAAACACCTTCATGAGTCAACCTTGCTATCTTCTTCGGCATGTTTTTCAATATGTCCCACAGCATCCTAGAGAAAGAGAGATAGATTTCACCAGATTTCTACCAACCTGTACAAACAATACTTCTACACCCATGTTAAGATTTAAGCACTTTTTTTGTTCACTTTTGTTTTAAGGCAGCACTGTACACAGTAGAAGTGGGGAGCCTTAGTGCAAATCAGGACCTCATCTTCCTGTTCCATCTGTATTTAAAACTGTGCTATTTGTATCTAGACTTAAATCAGGCCCAACCTTGCTTTTCGTGTAGGCCCAGTCCTTTCTCCATATATTAGGGGCCAGCAACAAGGTGTCCCTACAACTTCCATCAGCCCCAACCAGCACGACCAAAGTATTTTTGCTAAAACATTAATATGCTATTTGTTCCTCTATCATAACAAAACAGCAGGTATCCACTGCACTTCAGTTGTTCCCTCTCAAACTGATGGTTTAATCCAGCTTCTTCTGCTACGTACCTGCTTGGAACATTTCCGAGAAGTGAAGAAGGCATCACAATTCTTCCAGCGACATTTCAGCGTTTGAAAATTTGGATTTGTATGGTCATTTAACAAATGCTGTTTCAGGTGGTCCACAACTCCAAATATCAGTGAACACCCGTGCCACTGGCGAGAGAGGTTTTAAGGCAGACATTAGAGAGATGGAATGACAATGGCATAAAAACTCCAAAGATTTTTATTAGGTCAACCAAAACGTCACTAAATAAGTGTGCCAACTTTTAAGCTCTCTATAATTATTCATTGGGCTTGATGGTATATGAAGTGGGAATCAAAAACTGGCTGGTGATGTAGCCAGAGTCTGGAATGTCGGAGGCAGTAACAGACATTCATATGAGGCCATGTTACGCTACCCTTTCCTTTTGCGTGATTTGTCCTCTGAATGTCTGCAATCTTGTCACATGACCCTTAGCCTCACTAACATCAACTTCCCACCTCAAACCCTGCTTTGTTTACCATCTAGCCCAGGCTCCCTCAACCTTGGCCCTCCAGATGTTTTTGGCCTACAACTCCCATGATCCCTAGCTAGCAGGACCAGTGGTCAGGGATGCTGGGAATTGTAGTCTCAAGACATCTGGATGGCCAAGGTTGAGGAAGCCTGATGAAGAATTCTGGAAAGCTCGAAAGCTTGTTCATGATCCTGTAACATTGACTGGCCCTACATATGGATTTTGGAACCAACAAATATGTTCGGCGTGGTTAATGCTAACAAGAGATGGAAGAGGGGGTCCCATGCAAGCCCCCCCCCATGTCCGCGGACATGTCAGCTGCTCTTGAGATCTTCGCACACCTAGTGAAGATGTCTGTAGAGAGATGTGCGTTCAACTGAATGCGCCTGGAAACTCTCCCTCTTAACCTGATAAGGCAGAGTTCCATCTAGCACAGAAGTTTCTATGTGGCTCAGTTGAACACACTTAAAAACTCTGTTAGCACAGACTTTTGTGCTAATCTCTCAAGAGCATCTGGAAAACCCAAGGGAGGGGTTTCCATGTGTGCCCCTTCCCCATCTAACCCTTTGCCTGGATATGGCTCATGATGGAAGCCATTCTAAATGGTCTAAAGGAAACAAGAAAATCCTTTACCCAACAACGATAATTCTGCATCAAGTTGAGCCGCACAGCTTGGATAGTACCATCGTAGCAGCCAGTGTAGATCTGAAAAAGAGAAATTGATTTAAATGGTGACAAAATTAAAGCATACAAGGAAAACCAGCATGCTAAATGTATCAATCAATGCTGATAAATTTATAACGTCATCCTGAGCTGAACATTCCTGATTTGATCTGCAGGAGTTTACAAACCGGAGCAGGGGTGTGTGTGTGTTATTTTTTGGATTTGTTATTCTTTCAAAGAATCTGTACACATGATAAAAAGGGCGAATATTAAATCGCTTTCAGTTTTAATAGTTATGAAAAAGTAACAGCTGTTTTACAGTATAGTCACATTACATGTGCATTTAACTTGTGCAAATTCAATTGTATGTGCTCAGTTCCAGCTTGTAGATTTCTGTGTAGCAAGACTGCTTTCCTTCTTCTCTGGGGTGTTGCAGCAGCAACCCAGTTTCCTCAGGTGTGAAAACCAATGGGGAAGGGGTGGGGTGGGCTGAGACAAAGTCAGAGGGGAGGCAGACAGAGAAAGAGATGCAGGAAGAAGAAAAAGGCTAGAACGGAACTGCAGCTTTTGCCTGCGACTCTTTGTCTGTCTTCCTCTGCTCAAGAATCCAGAGAGTGCTGCTGCAAGTCAAACAAGACTTTGGATTTGATATCCCACTTTATCACTACCCGAAGGAGTCTCAAAGCGGCTAACATTCTCCTTTCCCTTCCTCCCCCACAACAAACACTCTGTGAGGTGAATGGGGCTGAGAGACTTCAGAGAAGTGCGACTAGCCCAAGGTCACCCAGCAGCTGCATGTGGAGGAGCGGAGACGCAAACCCAGTTCACCAGATTACGAGTCTACCGCTCTTAACATAGTCAAACAATCTGCCCTGGAATAAAGCAGGACAGCTTCGTATGCTCCCATAGACAGCTACAGATGTACGCTTTCTTTTTTTTCAAGGTGGAAGTGTCTCATGAGGCACTGCTTGGGAAGTCTTCTGACATTTGAGGGTTTTTGGTGGGGGTGGGTGCTGAAAAGCCCTATCGTTTCATAGCAGCACCAGTCCTGTGGAGAATGAAGTGCTCCTCCCACCAGAAAGAACCAAGTATGTAATTAGTTTACAAAGTACCACCCACAAAGCAAATGAGAAGCAGGAGCCACTCCTGGATAACCGCAACAGCGGATAGAGAATCACTGATTTTATGGAATTTGAGGTATTCGTTACCATGCTCTTGTGAATGGTCATGCACATAATCATATCCGAGTGTCCTCCGTAGACTTGCAAACGATCGTGGGACTTGGGACAAGAAAAAAGAAAGAAAAATGTTGTATTTGAATAAGCTGAGAGTTCAGCATTCATTAAAAAAATGCAGCTTATAAGGAGAATTGCAGGAACATTATAAGCTTCTACCACCTGGGGTGTCCCATGCCCCACAACTGTACCTCACTCTGTCTATAAAATGCTGCTGCCTTCTGGCAACATGAGGGTGAATGAATTAGATTCCCTCGAGAGAAAAATTTAAACAATGGAAGGCACCTGGGAAACCTCACAAACCTTTTGAGTGCATGATGAACATGTAACACAAACCTAAGAATAAAGACGCATCTAGCGAAGGATTGTGCTGCAATCTCACTTGCAGTGGGTTTGATGCAGTGGGCAGGAACAGGCCACACAGCAACTGCACACCTTTTGCAGGACTTCTAAAAAGCCCAGCTTGGAACTACAAGGGACGTTCCAAATTACATCTCACCAAGCCGAAAACTGTACAGCGCTAAGGAAGGTGTCCCATCAGGACCAGTATTTCTGCCTACCCAACAGAATTATCTCCCCTCTCCTCCTCCCGTGTGCTGTTCTCGAAGTTCTCCTGACTCTCTGCAACAGATTTGGAGAGGGCAGTGGGGCAGGAGAGGGGGGAAAGTCCTGTTGTGCTGGATTCCACTAGGAGAGGAAGAGGTTTAGGCAAAAGCAAAGGACACCACTCCCCACCTGCTGCCAGCAGTGGTATGTCACCACAAACAATAGAAATTAGAATAAATATCTTCTTTTTTTACCTGTAGCTCATAAACACGAACACATTTGTCCAGGCAAGCTGTTAACATCACTTTACCCAGGATGTTCACAACTGTCACTGCATGGTTGTGTCCTTTATAAATCCGCACCAGCTCTCCAGTCTGCAACAAGATAATCCGTACTAAATAAGTGGATATGCAAGTGGTCAGCATGTAGACTTATTGCATTATTTCCATCGCAATACAAATCATGTCTTTTCAGAAGTAACTCCTAATTAATTCTACAGGCTTACTCCCAGGTAAGTAAGCTTACAATTGCAGCTTTATTTTTTTATTTTTACAAAACACGCCTTCCTCAACAGAGCCCAGGGTGATGCACAAAAGAAGGCAAACAACAAAATAAACCAACAATTAAAACTCATCAAAAATTAAAAAAAAAAACCCTGCAACAACTCATTAAAATACAGAAGGGGTTTGCCAAACAATATCAGGAGTTATAGTATCTCCCTAGCAGAGGACAAGATATGATTATCAAGCCTTTATTTTACTATCCTACTAAGGTGGGTTCTCATTTAACTTTGCACAAAATACACAGCACACACACTGCTGGTTGTAAAAAACTCTGCTTCCCTTTAGAACAATGTCTTAAACCCTCTGGGGGAACCATGGCTATTTGTACACCCTTTTCAACTGACATACTTTGCATGTGTCTTGTACAGTGGTGCCTCGCAAGATGAAATTAATTTGTTCCGCGAGTTTTGTCACCTTGCGATTTTTTTCGTCTTGCGAAGCACAGTGTCGGGAAAGTTTTGGAAAAGCTTCAAAAATCACCAAAGTCTTTAAAAACCTCAAAAAAGGCTACCACACCGCGTTCTATGAGTTGCTCCTCGAAGTCAAGTCGCAACTGTATTAACGGTGTTAAGAAAAAGGAAACAAACTTGCAAGACGTTTCCGTCTTGCGAAGCAAGCCCATAGGGAAAATCGTCTTGCGAAGCAGCTCAAAAAACAAAAAACCCCTTCGTCTAGCAAGTTTTTTGTCTTGCGAGGCATTCGTCTTGCGAGGTACCACTGTACTCCAGTACAAAATTTAGGATGAGAAGATACCCTTAGGCTGCAATCCTCTGGAAATAAGTCTCAACGGGAATTTACTTTTAAGTAGACATGGTTAGGATTGCACTGTAAGACAGCTACATATCCCTTTAGGAAATCTGCAGAAGTGGTTAAGAATTTGGTTTCATTAAAGTAGCGTTACAACATTTTCGTATCTGCAAAGTAAATGCTTTCATCAAAAGCGAGGAAGTCTGAAATGCTTCCTGCTCCAAGATTCAAATGGAGTGGTATTTGCTGAATTCTAACCATATAAGCAACTTACATGTATATTGTGGGCATGGACAGACTGGTCACTGGAACCACTGAAGACCAGATCATTCACAACCTTTGAAGAGACAACCAGACAGACAGATTATCCACAACATTTCAGTATTTGTAAGAATGGATTCCAAATATCACTGAATTTGTCCATGGCAAGTCTGCGTTTATATGCAAGTTGTTCATATGTCACAAGTTTGTAGGAGTCTTCAATCCAATTGTAGAAGGGACCCACATTTTTATTTGTCCAATTCATCAGTATCAGTCTTTTTGCTGCGGTAAGGGCACAAAGAGTCTACTTGTAAGAGTCTACTTGCCCTTTTGTTGTGCTGGGTATATAATTCAAAAGGATATTTTGCTCTGTAAATGTAAGGTTGTTCTGTACAGTTCTGTTGATAATTTCAGTTAACGTGTGACAAAAATCTTTCATTATAGGACAATGAAAAAACATGTTTTAGAGAAGCATTATCCCTATTGCAACTCCAACAGTTAAGATACCTTAGACAGCTCTTTTTTAAACAAACGTAATGGGGTCCAGTATATTCTAAATATTACTCTTTGTTGCATCATTATTTATAACTAAAAGCAATTAACAACAACTTTCAAAGGCTGCCACAAAAAAGGAGAGCATAATATTCACTCTGACACTTAGAGATGGTCATTATCATCACCACTTTATACAGCACAATCAAACAACAGAAGACCAGCAAGGTAAATGGTGCAAGTCAAGGCTGAAGGAAACTGTGGCGTTTTCACATAGCAGGCAAAGAGGAAGGACTGTATTTTTGCAATGTTGTACCGGACAGCTACACAGCACGGCAACAGACTGAATACGATGGCCAAACGAAGTAAGCCTATCCCAAGGCTTTGTGCCTGAGCAAAAGGGTGGATGGTGATGTTGTCAATGGACACTGAGCGTATACAAGGTGAGGAAGGCTTAGAAGGAAAGGTGAGGGATATTGGGGGATGGCAAACTTGCATCTATGGAGAAATATTGGATAGTCTGTTGTGGATTATGGAGTATAGAGGTAGAACTAGAGTTCAGCACCTTACCAGTGGTACCAAAAACCATGGAATTTGATGAAATCACCCAAGGACAATGGAGAGACAGAGAGAGAGAGAGAGAGAGAGAGAGAGAGAGAGAGAGAGAGAGAGATAGATATGTGGAGGCATGAGAAAAAAGATTCCGGAGAGATCCCAACTGAGATGGGGCAGATTGAGCAAAGCAAGAGCTCTCTGGAAATGCTGAATGAGTGATGGCAATCACGAGAGGCCCATATCTCAGTGGTAAATCACATGCTATATTCCTAATTATAAACAACTGGAAGGGAGAGATGTTCTTTTACAAGCTTTGAACTGTTGTCAAGAAGCAGAGAACTTGCAAGAGAAGTCTGCCCACACAGAGCGTTCCTTTCAAGTTACTTGCCTTCATACAGAGCACCGTTTTGCTATGACCTTCAAGGGTTCGAAGCAACAAACCATTCCGGGCATCTCGCACACTGATTGTACAATCGTAGGATCCCACAATCAGCAACCTCCGTGCTCCTTCCTGAGCTGTGGCAAGACAACTGATTGCCCTAGGAGCATGGCACTCAAAGTTATCAAGCGGTTTGTTATTCTGGAAAAGAAAGCACACACCACACACACACACACACAGTAGGAACACAGTCAATGTTTCCTTACTAATCCAACTACATACTAAGACAGAACTATCCAGAGAACACACTGGAAATGCCACACCTCCTCAAATTTCCTTTAAAAAAAAGAAGATTAAGGATACTGGTTTTGCTCTGAAGTCTCTGATGCCTTATTTGCTTTGAATTCTCTGTATGCTTTTATGGGGTGGATTTAGCTAAGAAACAGAATTTTCTTAGTTGTCACTCCTACCCACTGACCTTGGAGTATGTCCCACAGAACTTAATGGGACTGAATTCTAGGGACAGGACTGCACTGTCAGAGAATCTATGGACTCTTTCCACGGCTTGTTTTGCATGTACACTTCGTTTCTGCTTTACTTTTGCAGCCACAGAAGTCAAGTTGCAACAAGTTGCACTCAAAACCCTAGTTGTCCTATTCAGCTTACCACGAGTACGGTTTCATAATTATGTTGCTAAGGCTGCTTATATAATTATTTTTAAATGTTTCAGAATAAAATGCTTCTCTGTAAAATGACTTTCAGAAATCAGTTTCAGAAATACGGTGAAAGGAAAATATATGAAGCCAGTGAAATTTACACACAGGCCAGATCTTAAGGACTGGTTTTCTTAGAAGCCAAACAATGCCATGTTTTAGTGCTAAATGAACAAACTTAGCCACTTCCTGGGCTTGTGACACCTCCACCCACCCCTGGCCAAGGAGAAGGAGTTCAGAAGTTTTAGCATTCCCTTGGCCATTTTTTTCCCTATGTTATGTAAACCAGGGATAATAGTTTAACACCAATATGAAATTAGCCATAGTTAGTGCATATGCGCAATACCCAGTTCAGATTAAATGACAAACTGAAGGTAAGCATATGGAAAAGCAAAAGCTTTTGGCAGTTCTCCAAAAGTCCACAGGAGGAGGATGTTCACATGAGCCTGGGAGGCTAGGCTCATTCACGTAGCACTAGACCAGGGATAGCAGACTTGATGCTCTCCAAATGATGTTGGGACTCCAGCTCCCATTAGCGCCAGCTAGCATGGCCCATGGTCAGGGATGATGGTAGCTGTAGTCCAGGAACCTCTGGAGAGCATCATGATGGCTATACCTGTGCTAGATCATGGTCCAGCATTGTGAACCTGTGTGGTGTAGTGGTTAGAGTGTTGGACTATGACCTGGGAGACAAGGGTTCAAATCCGTACTCAGCTATGAAGTTCACTGGATGACCTTGAGACAGCTAGTTTCTCAGGCTAACCTACTTCACAGGGTTGTCGTGAAGATAAAATGGAGAATAGGGAGAACTATGAGCTCCTTGGAGATATAAATGTAAATAATAATGATAATAGCACTGTATCCAAATGATGCAAATATGACTATTACCAAAATATTACCATAAAATAAAATTTCTAGTTTTGCATATACAAAAGAACATGGTAAATGTTTGTCCTGATGTACATGTGCATTTGTGCTGAGAGAAAACCACCAAAGCTAATTGCACCCGAGAGCAGGTACAGATTACACGCATTCTGAAATATCTTCCACTTCCGTGTAGTATATTTCAATTAGAGTATGAAGTGGAGAATCACAGAAGATACTATCAGCTCCTTCTTTGACTGCAAGATTCAGCTTAAGGAACCCCTGAAATCTTTGCAAAGTCACCAAATCTAGCACTGCTCATGTGACTGGACAGCAGTGCGAGCAGCTATTTATGAGTGCAAATAACTCAACACCGGCACAGGTTCTAATGGAATATACCCCTCTCGTACCAACCTTTATATTGAAAGTGGCCACGCTGCCATTAGCAAGTCCGGCATAAAGAATTCTCCATCTACTGTGCAGACAGAGTATACGATCGTCCAATTTAATTTGATCCACAAGTTCCCTAGTCTGGTAGGAGGAAAACAACTGTTAGTATACAACTGATATTTTCACCATCATCTTTCAATAAGTGAACCTAAAGAAGAAACTGAGAAACTAGCTTTGTTTATAAATCATTTTAGTTATGAGAGGCTCTTCCAGTTTGGAAGCAAGGAAACAAGCCTTTGGCTCGTATGACACAAGGCTACAGGCCCTCACTCCAAAGGGCCCTCTGGGGACCAGTGGACGAAGTAAAAACCTAAAATGTGGACTTAATTGCACAAAGATTCCCTTTTCATGTGGAATTCTATATAATCTGGTTCACTAAAACATGCACATTTCAGTCTTCTTTTAAGTTGTCGTCACATCTGTAACCCCTTCTTTAGATATAATTGGCTTGGGTGAACACTTACCTTGATGTTGTAACAATTTATATTGTGGTCACTGGAGCCCGAATAGAGCACTGCATTCTTCCCTGTTGTCTGAGTCACCAGGATGCAGTTCACTTTTGAGGTGTGCCCTTCAAAGACACCAACACACTTCCTGCTCTGTGAGAGGCAGAGAGTTAAAAGGTTTAATTACTCAAATCATCATCATTATCATCATTTTATTTGTCTGCCGCCTTTCCACAGTTGAAACTATGCTCAAGGCGGCTTACAACATGACAAGAATTACATACAGTGGTGCCTCGCAAGACGAAATTAATCCGTTCCGCGAGTCTCTTCGTCTAGCGGTTTTTTCGTCTTGCGAAGCAACCCTATTAGCGGCTTAGTGGATTAGCGCTATTAGCGGCTTAGCGGCTATTAAAGGCTTAGCAGCTAAAAGGCTATTAGCGGCTTAGAAAAAGGGGGGGGGAGCGAAAAAAAATCGCAAGACTCGCAAGACGTTTTCGTCTTGCGAAGCAAGCCCATAGGGAAAATCGTCTTGCGAAGCAACTCAAAAACGGAAAACCCTTTCGTCTAGCGGGTTTTTCGTCTTGCGAGGCATTCGTCTTGGGGGCACCACTGTAATTACAAACATAACAGAAGTCATAAGCAATAATTAAAACACACCAAAAAGTACACAACCAAATGGAAACCATTTCCACATAAATCATATGATCTAAAACTAAAGATACAACAATAATATCAATAACAGCAACAAGCTCTCTCAACCCCCCGTAAACAATACTCCAGCCCAATAATCTGTTCAACAGCCTCGGCTTTTGTAGCTGGAGTCAGTCAGCACTCCACTCTCCCAGCCCAGATGGGAAAGGGCCAGCAAAGCAGGGTGCAGGTCTTCCAGGGCTCACAGCCAAGATGGTCTCATTTAAAACAGCACAGATAAAAATTAAAAACAATTTAAAAGAGGAGCCCTTTCTGCTGAGCAGCAGCCACAGTGTGAAGCCTGTCAAGCCCCACCCCAAGGCAGGTGGAAGGAGGCAAGGGTTTAGGGCCCTAAGATAGCAAACTGGGGTAGCACCCAACCACTATGGCTTCCAAACCAATCGCCTATTTCCTGCTTATGTGCATTTAGACTCGTGAAAAGAAGCATGTGGCAAGGGCACACGACAGCCATGCACACAGACCTCCAAGTTGCACTTCCCTGGTTCTCAAAAATGCAGGTATTTGTAACATGTAGCCATTCCAGCACAAGCCTGTTAACTGCATAGCTTATCAGAGGCTGGTCCGAGAGATACACATCTCAGACTGCTTTTTAGTCTTGCACTTTATGAAAGATGAATGTCATTGCTTCAGCCATCTCCCTATCTCCATATTAAGGAAGTTAACATGGAAAATGGAATTCAGTGTTCAGCCCTTTTGTTAGGCTCAACTTACTGACCTAGTGGACTAACCTCATGAAGCTGCTGTTTGCTGCAACAGATCATTGGTCCATCCCGCTCAATACTGTCTGCAATGACTGGCAGCAGCTCTCCAGAATGACAGACAGGACATTCCCTTCTAAATGCTCTATCAGTAAGTTACTTATAGGAAAAAGAGGCCGTATATTTTGTTGCACCACATTAACAGTTTTGGATCTTAACTCACTGGCAAAATTCCCCTTTCCCAAGGAGGAAGCTAGGTATCACAAAATTGGCTAAGAGTTATTCATTGCTAAAACACACTTCTCACAGACTCCTTCCCCCATCTCAAATCTTGATGCCATTTTGCTCTGCTTTAGTTGTATTTATCTGATCTGAGCCACGCTCATTTCTCAATAGTTTCAGTGGGTGACTATTGCTTCAATAGAACTTATGGGGTGGGGGAAGCGACTGCAAACTCAGAAGGCAGCGAGACACTCCACAGCCAGTCTCTTTAGCCAATCTACTTACCACCAAGTTATATGCATGGATGGTTTTGTCTGCTGAGCAGGTGTACAACAAATTCCCAAAAATCTGAATCGCATTCACTGAAGCTGAATGACCCTCAAAGGCCCCTTCCGTAGGTTCTTCCTCTTCGCCTGGCTCTGAGGAGACTTCTGTCAAATGCAATTGTCAAAGCCTTCCGTTAACTAAACATACTGCTCATAACACCACGGTAAAAGAAAACTGAAAAAGGAAAGAAAGAAAACATCCACTCAAAACTACCAGGTGCTGAACCAATGAACGCTATCTCATTATAGCAAAACCAACCAACCAAACAGCAATAGAATAATAATAAACCCCAATAAACCCAACATATTGTAACTGTAATAAGCTCCTTGACTGGAGGAATAAGAAAGGGAATCAAGTTGTAAGCTAGGGTGGGTGAGGAAATAACAATATGAAATGAGCTACCTCATTAAGTATATCTAAACAAGTCTTTGGCTTAGGAACACATTAGGAATAAGCTGAGCTCGACTCTTGGCAAGATGGAGGCACTGTGGGTGAACAGTTCCTGTTTCTGAGAAATTGATTAAACAACATGTTTTTAGCAGGCACCAAAAAGTATACAGTGGAGGTGCCTGCTCGACTACAGCTCCCATTTTCCGCAACCACTGGCCATACTGACCAAAGCAGAGTATTAGTATTTGTTGTTGTGTGCTTTTAAGCAAGCTTTCTGGGTTTGGAGTCATGTTTGGGAACACAGATGATGCTATAGCACTCCATCTTGCAAAGAGCTGCTCAACTCTCTCCCACCTCCCCACAAAGCCCATGTGCTTATTTTTCCATTAGAATATATATATATACCTGATGAGTTTTTTGATCCTCTTATTGAAGATATGGACGTTTGAGTCTCAGCCACACTACAGAAGATAGAGAATGCCACGGCTATTACAAAATGCTAACACAAAAGGACATTAATTTAAAATGCTTGGCTACAAGGCCTTGTAGGGAAAATGTGTATAGGGAAAAGGAACAAAGCTATCACCAGGACAATGAAGCAGCAATCACAAAGCACTCTATGACACTAAGTTTCCATTTTCCAATAATTATTTTTCAATTATTTAAATGTACTTCAATATGGAATGAATGAATGAATCTTTATTTGCGTCAGCCATCGGCCATAGCAATCTTCAATATGGGAAAAAAAAATTCCTGCAATCTCTTTTATGGTATTTATAAACAACTTCTCTGTCCAAAGGTTCCTGAGGCAATGTACAAACTCAAAATAGAGAGACTATAACATCACTAAGAGTACATCATAAACAGATTTTTTAAAAACAAAGTAGCTCATGGATACACAATCAATGTACACACAGAGAATTGTGTCCAACAAAGTCACCGTGTTTGTGCAAGGAATTCTGCTTGCACCATGGAACTTCCCATTGCTTCTTCTCCTCTCCCCCCCCCCCCGCCTCTAAAGGGTTGTAGAACAAATTCGGGGGCATGGGGTGAGGGAGAGGAAGTTCTGTTGCATAAGTGTAAGTCCTTCCTTGCACAAATAGGATGACTTCCCTGGATATAACACCTGTTTCCCAGCTTACCTTCTACCAATGCCATCCTTGTAGTTTGTTCCAATCTCACTGGTAGAGCTCACTTCATCGTAGCCAGACCGAGACGCCTCTCTCAGAAGCTGCTCTGAGGAACTCAGCGCATCCCTCTTAGAAGGGCTGTCTGGTTTTTCATCCCCCGATTCTGATGAACTGATGGCAACCACTTCCAGAGGAGATTTGGGGACTTCCACAAATTCCAGAGACGTGTCACTCTCATTCTCGTCTTTCTTCCGCTTTCCTTCCTGAGCAGCCTCTGCATCCTCTTGCTTTGGAGGGGTGGATGTTGTAACTTTCCCCCCTCTGGTCCCCTTTACCATCTTGACTTTCCTTAAAGGCTTCATTTCACTTACATCCTGCTCTGTATCGCTGTTCTCAGGGACATGGGCTGCTCGCAGTGCTTTCTTCTTCTTCAACTTCTTCTTTTTCTTGCTCATTTTGCTCTCCACGGAGACCAGTGCAGAAACTGCCATCTGCTCCGTTGCCTGTCTGGGATCTTCATCCGCAGGCAGTTCAGGGGGGAAGGTTGGGCTCTGAAAGGAGCTGCTGCACTGTTCTACAACTGTGTTGTCTGGTGGGATTTTGTTTTCTTCTGCCTTCTCTGCCAAGAGCGATGGTGAATAGCTGGGGGAAGACCTGGCCCTTCCCTTATCTGGAACAGGTTTCTGCATATCTTGATTAGACTCTTGGAAATCAATAAGTGCAGACAAAGACATGGTAGCAGAGATAACTGGGTACAGCAAAGGTTGTTGGCTCGCATTCCCTGAAGAAGACAAAATAGCCCTTTTCACTTTGACATGGCCAATAAGGCATTCGTGAATCCCAGCCTTAGTCACATGTGGCCTTAAGTGGTAACTTACAGAGCATCCCAGATGTACAAACTATTAATCGACATGGTTGCCTCCATATAAACACCTTGATAGCTCGTGTAATCTAGCGTCAAACACTGGATTGCAACCAGAAAGACTTTGGGTTCCAACCTCTTTCCGTGAGAACTTGCAAGGTCTTGCTCTCTAACCTACACCAGGGATGAGGAACCTGCAGCCTTCCAGATGCTGTTGACCATCATCCCTGATCATTGGCCATGTGAGAGTGCCACAGTTCACCATCCCTGATCCACTCTATAGGATAGTTCCAAGGATGCAAGTAAGAAGCATTCTTTGGAGATGAGAAGCCAATAGGCCTCTTGACAGACCACATGCTCAGAGTTTTGTGCACCACTGGCATGTCTCTGGGCTGACTGGGAAATTCTGGGACACATGCATAGATGATAATAATAAATACTACTATGAGGGGGTATTGGTTTTGTTTGTTAGGTATTTTGTGTTTTTCCATTGCAAACTGCCCTGTGATCCTTGGATGGAGGGTGGTATAGAAATTAAACAAACAAATAAATAATATTAATAGACAGAATTATCACCTGCAGAAGACAACATACCATTCTGAAACAGAGCTTCTCCCTGTGAAGAACATGGAAACCTCTGTTCAGGAATATTCATGCTCTCCTCTCTAGGCTTTGGAGATGCAGGTTCTTGCTTGATTTGAACAGATGAATCAGGGATTGTGATGGCTCCAATGCCACTAGTGATTTGGAATGTAGGTGGAGTGCTTGCATGGACAGGAGCTGCCAAAGGAACTGCAGGTATCTGGGCAGAGAGAGGTGAAGCAGATTCCAAAAGAGGAACAAGACCACCTGGATTAGCAATTAGATCCTGTGTTGTCTGAAGTTTGTTGTTTCTTTTTACATTTGAGCCACTGGGTTGAAGTTGCTGCAGCTGTTCGGAAGGTTCATAGGTTTCTAAGGAGACAACATGGATGCATTTCACATTAAAATCTCTTCAGCAAACAAGGCTCCCCAAATCCAAGTTCACATATAACAGTAATCCAGGTTTCATTTTAACCATGGTCTGCTCAACAAGCCACAAGTAGTCCTATAGATAAACAAAAAAAAAAACCTATGGCTCGTTTCTTCAAAGCTTGGTTTGTTTTCCCACTGCTCTTGTCTTTGTAACTCAGTGGGCATATAGGAGAAGGTGGCCCAATGAAAGCGTGACTGCTGAGTTCAGGCATAATGCCAAACCATAGCTGAAACAAGTCATGGTTTGTAATCCAACAATAAACAATGGCTTCATACAGTGGGCTGTTGACAGAAAAAATAGGGGCTGCTCTCCTAACCTCTTCACCTACTCTCATGTTAACTGATACTCTATGATCAGTGAGCCGTCACTTATTCCACTATCTATTTTCCTTGACTGTCAGTACCTCAGAGAATTCAAAGCACTCAGGGACCTTACATACTTGAGTAAATGCTACAGCAAGGACCTGAGGATCTGCAGAGGCTGTTTGACTACAACTCTCGTCATCCCTGACCATTGATCACACTGGCTGAGACTGATGGGATGTGTAGTCCAACATCTGCAGAGCCGCCCCTGCATTACAACATTCACCAAATCCTCTTTTCCTTTGTTTTTACTTTAACTACTATTTGGAGAGACTCGTTATGGCGGAGTTTTAGAATCTCTGTCTTAAATAATTCAAAGGAACCAAACTACAAGAGAAAATACGCTCTTACTATAGACACTTGGGACAGTTTCTGCTGCTATATTCCATGGACCCAGCTGCTCACAAGCCTCTCTGCCTGAACTGCCAAGAGGTGGTCTCAGATTATCATCATAGTTCTGCATTACTAGTGGGCACCTGAGTAACTTTAATAAATATGGACTCCCAAAGCAATGCAAGGTCTGCTTCAAGTACCTTGCAATCCCTGCAGGATCTGAATTCTTTGGCTTCTCAAAGTGCCCATTTCCACCGATATCTAGGAGACAAGAGAGATTCAGTCAGGTCCATCAGAAGACATCCTTCTGAAATCTTCAGACTTACAGCTGATGGCCTTCGAAACGTCAAAGTACCTGCTGTTTCAGTACAAGCAGTCGCTGGACTTCAATATAAGCTGCCTGCAGAGCAGCTCGAGCTGGCACAAGGCTTCCATCCACACAGTGCAAGGACTTACTCAATTCTTCTTCCCTCAGAGAAATAGACAACAACTGGTCTACCTGCGAACGCTCTGCAAGAGAAAGTAAGTTTCAAGATATGGCACAGCCTGCTGCCACTTTTAGGACATTCAGAAGGTATTTGAGAAATGTCAGCTTTCTGAGATGCAGTTCATTAGAGTAAGTTGTCACATTGCTTCCTAGTGAAAGGAGACTGGGAGAGATGAGGTATCAAGCACAGTATTAAATTTGTACTTCTGTTTGATGAGCCTGGCATAGTCCACAAGTAATGGCCAGTCTTCCTTTATCAACCCAAGGAAGGCACCACTCATGGGAAACCTATGCAACAGAGTTCGGCTTCAAGGGAGGAGAACAAAAATAATCAGAATTTGTTTGGTGGGCCTCCTAAAACATTTATTTTATTTTACTTTATAATATTTTTATTAATTCTCACTGTAACAAACATCACATATAGACAAAGATTAATAAGAAAAAGTTTTTAAAAGAAAGTAATAAAAACTTCATAATGCTGTTTATAAATTCAATAAAATATCCAAAAGTGGGATTTTTCCAGTCTCTTGACTTTACTCTACCCCCTCCCATGGTTCCGTCATTGCATGATTAATTTATGCATGTCCAAGTTATATTGTCCATCTAATTATATCTAATTCTTTCTTTTATCATAATAATGCAAATGTTTCTTAGAATCCTGTGGATGTATCAACTTGTATTGCAATGCTTTGATATACATATAATAAAAACTTCCCATTCGTTTTTAAATTTGTTATTATCCTGATTTCTGAGTTTCTCTGTTAATTTAGCCAGTTCCACATATTCCATTAACTTAATTTGCCAATCTTTTTTTGTGGGGATCCTTTCCTATTTCTAGCATTGGGCTATCAATACTCGTGCAGCTGTCGTCACATACACAATGAGATTTTATTATTATTATTATTTGGTATCTCCTTTCCTATAATTCCTAATAAAAAGGCTTCAGGCTTTTAAACAAAAGTTATTTTAAACAGTTTTTTCAATTCATTATATATCATTTCCCAAAAGTTTTTTATTACTTTTCATTGCCACCACATATGATAAAACATACATTCTACTTCTTTACATTTCCAGCATTTCCCCCCCTCTTGATTTGTACATTTGTGCTAATTTAACTGGTGTTAAATACCACCTATACATCATTTTCATTTAATTTTCTTTTATCAATGTACAAGCTGTAAATTTCAAATCATTTCCCCAAAAAAATTCCCATTCTGACATTTGGATGTTATCTCCCACATCCTTTGCCCACTTTATCATTACACATTTGACTGGCCTCCTAAAACATTTAGACTGGAAAAAAATAATGCAGTGCCAACTAATTTATCACTGTGACCCACCTTTTTTGCCTTTAATCTTTCTTCTTTTATTCTTTCTTTCTAGACTTGGAATTTCAGGAGAGGATCCCTCCTGCAAATTAAATATATATTTTTGTTAGCTAAACTAGCATATAACACAATTTGGTAGATATTCCAAGACACAAATTGTGTACCAAGCCTATTTGAGGCAGAAGTGTTAGAACACACAGGAGACACAATTGGTTGGATTCAACCTATAAGTTGGACTTTGGCTCCAGTGAAATCAAAGGGACAAGTTAGACACAATTTAAGTTAGGCCCCGCAGAACCTAAATTGAAATAAACATACAGTATATTCCTGCATTGCAGGGGGTTGAACTAGATGACCCTTGGGGTCCCTTTCAACTCCGTAAGATTCTATGATTCTATGCATTTCCATTGAGGTGTCAATTTTGTTTCTGAATAGTAACCGAATTCCTGCACGCAGTCCTCTTGTTCATACATCCACTTAACAGGCATTAAGTGGACATATTCTAGCCTGGCATAATTGATCAAGGAAGGTGTGAAGCCAATGAGGGGTGTGGCCTAGGGAGAGTTCTAGGGGCCAGATGAAGGCCACATATGGCCCCTCAGTTTCTCATTTCTGCTATGGACCAAAGAAGCTGCCATGACCAATTGTAATCGGCGGAATCGAACAACGTAGTTCTGCTAGTGCAAGGGTTACGATTTGCATAATGAAACTTCACACGCCATCCCCAAATCTGCTCTGGAGGGTTCAGAAAACCCTAGAAAATATTTAGGGGACATACAAGGAAGAGGAGGGGAGGGGAAGTTCTGTCGCAGAGCCAGAAGTCCTTGGTACTAGTGGAAATAAGGCATTTGATATAAGAGAGGATGTGTCCGGGTATTCTTACACTCGGGGCCGTTTTCAGATTCTGTCACAAGGTTTTAAATGCGCAATGGATTCCATGAATATCTGGACCACTTACTCCGGTCGCTCTTCTTTTTTTGCCAATTCCCTGGCTGTCATTCTGCTCGTTGCCCGATGTGTAGCTGCTGTCTGTAGCGGCCTCTAGAGTGCTGAATGCTGCAAGGGCTGACGCCATACAGAACCTTTCCCCTGGACTCTCCAGCATGTCTTGAGTTTCAAAGGCCTGGGCCCTGTAGTCAGGGCTTCTTGGGCTTTGTCCTGCACTAAACGCTGTGAGTCTGTTAACATTAGGGGGAGACTGTAGGCTGAGCCTCCTTCCCCTGGAATCAGTCCTGTCAGACATGTACGGTGAGGAGGGAAGGGAAGAAGACTCTTGTTTCACACCAGCCACAGCAACTGCAAGCATCTGGGAGCCGTATGTTACATCCTCAGTGTTGGCAACCGAGCTCATTTGTTCATTTTCTTTGCTTGGGCCTTGACTGCTGAAAAAACTATAAACAGAGGCGGTCTTATCTACAGCCACACTGCTTTCGGAGAGACTACGTTTCCTAACAGTCCCAGGGGAGCCTAGGGATATCCCTTCCCAGTGGAAACCTTCAAGGCTGGTCAGGTCACCTTCTTCATCCAACTCAAGTTCCTCTTGTTCATTCTGGATGAGAGGAACCATCTCAATGCCAAACCTTAAAAAACAGTAGAGATCGTGAAACACTCAGTAGTGAAAGCTCAACCAAAAATAAAGGCTAACACAGAACTGTTAACAATTCAGTTTCATGTATGGCTAGCTCTGCAATAGCAACGATGCTGTGTTATTGCCCAAAGATTTGAAATTCACAGTTGTCTTACCTTTTTGGTTACTGAGTTCCTGAAGATCCACCAATCAGGACAGCTCTTCAGGAAATCAGAACCCAAAATAACACTTTCAAATAGCAAGCAGCGACATAACAACAGGTCAATGATATTTTCTCCAACACAGAAGGAAACTAGGAGGATACTGCAAAAGCAATTTACCTCTGGTAAATGTAATTGTGATGGCAAAATTACATTGACTGCCTACATTAAACCAGTGGATCACCTTTCATTGAGAAGGGTGGAAGTGGAAGAGATTTGGTTATTGTTCCACTGAAAATTTTAATTAAAAAAATTACATAGTTACAATACAAACTAACATATCTGCAGCAGCTGCAGTTCCTCTTTAAAAGCTGGACATCTAGAATTGTAGCAAATCTGACTCACTGGGCTGAGAACGCTGCAGCTGTGCCTTGATCAGCTGGTTTAAAGGCAAAGATTGTATCTGTCAACCAAGATTTGGTGGCAGTTAACTGAAGGCAAACAGTGAGCTAGGCAGAGAGGAACCTATACTGTGGGAAATCCTGCATACAAATGTAAATAAAAATGTGAAACTGTTTCTTATTCTTACATCCCTTTTCCTAACCACATAATACCCCTTTAAAGCAAACTGTTAAGTCCCTCAATGCATCTTCTCAACCAAGAAATCTACAGGTTTATTTATTTGCTAAATGCATAGGCCATGCTAGGAGTTTTACACCGAAGGGTGGCCTATACATTTGCTAAATGCATAGATCCTTTATTACAATACGGTTTCAAATCTGATTAAGACTACAAACCTGGGTAAACCTTTGCCAAGTTCTTGCTTCTTCTTTGTCACCTGCTGAATTACCTGCTCCCAGTTTACATTTCTTCGAGACACGCTAATAATCTGTCGCAAAGTAGGCTTGAGCCCTGATTCTTTCTCAGCTTCGCTCTTCCGGTGGCCACTGACGTTGCGAATGCGCCTTGCACTGTTCAGGTTAGGCTCAGGTAGATGTGAGCCAGTTTTGCTCTTCAGGTTGGTGCGCCATGTTAGGTCTCTTTGGAGAGAAGCTGGAAAGCCAAGTTTACTCAGTTCAGGAAGAAGAGGGCCAGAGGGCTGCCCTCCTGCATCTTTCTGCAGCTCGTGATTAGAATGAACTGCATAGCTTTCCTCTTCTGGAGCATCATTTGATTTAGTCGTGCTTCTGTCACCATCCTCTTCCAGGGATGCTTTCAAGTCTGTATCTAGGTCATCTTGAAAGTTGGATAGAGATAGGGAGCCCATTTGGAATTTGGTATATTTGTTATCAGTATTCTTCAACTCTAATAGATAGCCCCCTTTTTTAGTTGCCGTATGGTCAGGTTCAGCAAGATCACAAGTTGAGAAAGCATTAGAGTGAGTATTTTTGGTTCCTGTTCCATCTCCAGAGTTCTCATCCGCCAGTCCATCTATCTGGGGCTCATGCATCTTCAGAGACAATCCTGGACCTTCAGTACTCCATTTGTCATTCCCATCAGTCTGAGTATCTCTACAAGGTATCAAGCAAGAGTTTTGGAAAGACTGGCTATACTCAAGTTCTTCTTTGGCATTTTTTAATGCTTCGTCTAGATTTTCAGTGCTGCTACGCACATGTGTGGTGCCTTTTAAACTGTTATGGCCATTACATTCATTACTCAGCTTGGATCCAGAGGAGGAGGAATTGTTAGCATCTAAATTTAGTGCATTTAGTTGGCTCTGGCTTTCTCCGGATGATGAGGATAACAAAAGCTGGACATGTTTCAAGAGATTCTTTGGGCTTCTTTTTTGAGAAGATGGCTTTATATCGGGAATAGCCAGAAGTGGGGACTTCAAAGATGGCATCCTGTTACCTTTGCCTTCAGCTTGGTCTGATTTTTTCTCACTGCTTAAGTCTACTGCCTTCTTACATGGTACAAGTTTGTTGGATGCCATTTTGTAATTGGGGGATGCTGAATAAGTCTCTTCCCATTTTTTCAGTTTGGGGTTATTGGTTTTAGGATCTGTGCATTTTGGAGACAATGGAGAGCATGACAGGCGACCGGACTCTGCTTTCTCTGGAGTTGTAGCTACATTCTCATCACACAGTGGCTGCTGTTCTATTGTTTTTAGAGAGGGATATGGAGCCCAGCGATTTGTTTTTTCTCGGGAAGGGCTGTTGCTCTTTCCATTGACTTTGGAGGTCTTGCTCTCTGGTTGCTCAGAAACACCAAAGTTTAGTAACCCATCTGAAGGAAGCTGATCACTAGTGAAATCCAAATCACAATCCGTGTTGTCATTTTCATTAGCAAGGCCCATATAAGGCACCCCAGAACTACTGTCCTGCCACTGCCATGCATATCTTTCTATATTGTATTTATCCTGCGCATTTTTGCTTTTTAACCAGGAAGCATCCACACTATCTAACTGGGAACTATTGTTTGGAGCCCTGCTTCTTCCTAAATTCCACCCCCTTCCGTTTTGTCGACCAGGCTTCCAGTTTCCACCTGAATTTTTGGCTTGCCAGTAAGAAAATGTATTTTCTCCTTCAGAATTCCACTTGGAACTTCTTCCCCTGCTGCCATGGTGCCATCCTGGTATTCCTCCTCTGGCATTCTGATGCCAAGCACCTCCATTATTGCCATAGTTATGATAGCGATTTGGAGACACTCCAGTATTATTTTGATGCCACCCAGGTCGTCCTCTTTGCTTGTTCAGATGCCTGTTTGCATTCTTAGGATTCCTTGCAGGATGTGTGAATTGGCCTTGTCTGGGATTTAAGAAACCATCACCTTCCCAGTTCCACTCCCTCTGCGATGGTCCACAATGATATCTTGTTGATGAATCGTAAGTGTCTCGGTCTTGATAAGTTCTTTCATCTTGTCTTCTTTGTAATCTCCTGTCATTGTTTTCTGTTTCATGGTTCACACGGCACACTTCACCTGCCCTATAAAGATAGAAGTATTTTAATCTAGAGACTAAATAACCTATATTTTCACTCATCTGCAATAACAGTTAGTTTTCAAAAAAATAATTAGGCCTGATCTAAAATATCTCTGAATAATAGACCTGCACTTTGCCCCTGGTGTGCTGACCAAAGGCAAGCAGACGCTGGAGATTTGAACTGCCAAGTGAGGTAAGCCTGAGATAGTCTTTGAATTAGCCAACTGGCAGAAATGTCATATACATATCAGTCTCCACTGCTTCATCACATAAATACAGCATAATTATGTTACAGTCAGTCATTAAATGAAACAAGGATTAATTGCACACTGTCAACATGACGATGGCAGTCCTATTGGTCACTCCCCCAATCTCAGAGGATAGCTATGGAAGGCAGAAAGGATCTCTGGGAGAAAGGATGTTTCTGTGCTGTTGAAGAATGAAGAAAATATTTCTTCTCCCATTTGGCATTATTCATCAGGGAGAGAGATGCCATATACCATATCAGCTTCACCGTCCACCTACTACATGATAGTGAACTGAAAAGTATATTGGAAGGATATAATGTTTTAAAATATTGCCTAAAAATAAGTTAAGGAAAGTAACCAGTCCTCCCGAAGATGCAAATTCAACATCTGTGCTGTATGTAGACAGCTACCTTGCCTAGCTTCAGTGAAAGATTCTCTAGCTTCAGAAAAAAGATTCAGTTTATATGCATTATATATTACGGGATTTTCTAAGACCACGTATTACAATGCTTGTGATTTGGCAATCTGCTGGCAGGTTGCCCAAAGGGCAGGATTTAAATTTGCCAGAAAAATACATACAAAGGCTTATCACACATTCCAAGGAAAAATTTTGCTTTTTCATAGCTAATGCAATATTCCCAGCAACATTAGGCCGAATTCCAGAACTACATTATCCTGTAAAAAAATCAAGAGGGCTATTTTTCCTTTCTCCCTGTAGGCCAGTGGAGACATAAGGATAGGAAAATTTCACACTATGGCATCCATCTTCACAACCCCTGATCACGGGTATGCTTCAGGTTTCAAGTTCCAGATCCCTTTTTAACTCTGACAAGACTCAAATGCTCTAGTAGTTCCATAAATGGACTTCAATTATTATTGAATCTGTAGATCATTGCAACTTACAAGGAGAAAAGAAAGTCACAAGGACTGATAGATTTCCACCCCCCCCATCACCTCTGCTCATACTAGATCAAGAATGTGTGCTTAATACTTTCCTCCTCTGCCAAGTTCAATTCATTAGGAAGTTTTAAACATTCCCTACTAAGAATCCAAACAGAGGAATAGGGGGAAAATTGAACTTCTGCCAGCTACAGTAATGTTCACTATGTTGAAAGTTATTAGAAGAAAGCTGATCAATGTGGCTCACTTACAACACAAAGAGTGTAGCCTAAAGATTAGATTTACTTGGATGCAAAGATCCTGCTGTGTGAATGGAATGGAATGGCTGAAACGGGATGGTGATGGTAGTTCACTGTTTTCTTCTCCACCACCAGCAACCCCCACCCTCAAAGTAAACCAGGCTCCAGAGTTTTGACCGCCCTCCAACACATACTGGGGAAGGCAGCAGGAGGTAGAGGAATTGGTAACCACTATTACACCCCATAGGATCAGAAGTGTCCACAGATCCACCCCATGGAAGGCACGAAAGGTGCAATAAAGCCAAAGTAGATTCGCGTTATTTAAACTATACATAGCAAAATGTATCATGACACAAGCAATGAACGCTACACAGCGGATTAAAACACAATTTGAAATTATGCAGAAAAACCTAGGGAACAGAATTCTATCCATAAATTGGATAAAGGATTTCATTCAAACCCAAATGCGTTTCTAGACAACAGAGAAGTAAAAATGGTTCCAGGTTCAGCTGACAGACAGAACAGTGAGGAACAAACCTATAAATAGTCTCGTTTCACAGTTCTATGTTCCCTATAATAGTTTCCACAATTAAATAATTTCTAATAAATACGAGCATGCATATTTAACTATGAAACATAATGCATTCCCATTACACTGGGTGCAAGTTAATTTTGTATGGTCTAATAAAGTAGGCTACAAATGATATAGGCTCAGTTAGCAAAAGGTTTTCCAGTTCTGCAGTACGCAGCATGAGCAAAAACTTACAACAGATAAGTTTGCAAGAAGAGGCCCCGTATATTGATTTAAAGCCAGGGAAACTGTATCAACCAAATTTAACGGTCCATCCCAGAGTTATCTGCTCCGTTGGTCTACAAGTGGTCTTTGGGCAATGCTACAAAACTTGCACACTAAAAATAGTAACTTATGCAGCTCTTACAACTTTCCCAGCCGCGGCCACAGACTGTACTAAAGGCACAGTACACTCTTGGCATCATTTCCCTATATTCAAAGAGTGTTGAAGCACTCCACATCGCAACTGCTAAGAAAAGGTGAACACACTCACCGGTTCTGCTCATTTCTTTGTTTAATTAGCTGGATGAGTTCCTTGTCAAAGTATTCTTCGTTAGTCTCTTCTTTCCCTTCTTCTCCATCGTGGGCTTCGATGTTGTCTTTGTGCAGCTGGCTGGAGATGTGCTTGGCATACGCCGACAAGCCCACCACTGTCACCCTGCACACCTGGCACTCATGATTGCTGTCCCTGGGGAAAGATGGAGAAGCTGGACATTCAATAATTCCCACAGGCATGGCAACTGCTGCTGATCTTAACTCAGTTTCCTCTGAATGTGCAAGTCTCACATCAAATGTGCACAAGGTCTAGTAATCTGCATTGAAGCTTCCTGAAAACCCTGCAGGTTTAGAAGTTCTTCCTTTTGCGGTTGTAGTTAATTTCAATGATGTCTGGGTGGATTTCAGATTTCTTTCCAACAATCAAGAGGTAAAGGACTTGAGAGTAATCAGAGTGTCAGCTGGGATTCTTCTTGGATTGTTGTACTCAAAACCTTGTCAGAGGAAACATAGCGGAGGAGGTGGCAGAGTGGAGGGCTTGCAGAGCTAGCAGAAGCTGCTCTGAAGCACCTCCATGGTGCCAGCTGCACTGGGGAAGCCCGGCGATAAGATTCTAGATTTAAGCTCTGTCTCAGCACTCCCCCAATGAGCATCAGCAAAGAGGAGGGGAGACTACACCTCTACAGCCAATCCTAACACAGTGAAACCTAAACTGGGACAGCTGGCACAGTGGCCTGGAATCCAAAGACTTTACAGCACAGCAAATGAAGGGAGGGAGTCGCCTGCTTGCTCTGCTTTATTTGGTTCATTTATTTGGTTCATAAGATGCAAGCTAAATCCACTCTCTGCTCCACAAGGATTATTGTGAAGATACAAAATTGTTTCAGTTGGAAGAAGCCAACAACTGTTTCAGACAAGTGTGTGAACTCTGGTTTCATCTAAGTCTGCCAAGAAGGGGGGTGGAAATCACACACACACACACACACACACACACACACACACACAATTTTGTTTCATGTTTTGGGTGAGGGGCAGAAAAAAATACATATTTGCAGTCCTTTGGGCAACCCACATCCAAAATATTTATTTTGTAATTCACCTTCACTATTTTCTCAAATGAACTATTTTTGGTTTTTTGTAACTATGATCTGCAATACTTATCCAAGAACTTCAGACTTCATTAGGGGCTGAATGTTATACTTTCACATGTACATAATAGGTCATAATAGGTGACAGAAGGGGGAAATAGATCTTCATAGAGAAGTTGATGATATTTTGCAGACTATTAAGACTCAATGACCTCTCCTTCGGCTCACATAGGAATTGGGGGGGGGGGAGAATTTGCATTTAGAACCTCCAATTTTGAAATTCTAAGACTCTTGAAACTTTGTTCAAGCCCCATGTGATTTGACCAGAAATAACCTCTCTTAGCCTACACTGTCCCAAATACTGACAACCCCCTCCAATTTTCTGCATCTCACTCTGGGAAACATTGCCCTCACTCAGGCACACTTAAAAAACAACCACCAAAAATGTATGTTACATACTAAGGGAAAGGCAAACACAGTTTAGGCATTTTGCTTTTTTTAAAAGCTTAGCGCTGTTATATATTACGTATGTGAGTTTCTGCCTCGCTGTGAAGTCACATGGCTAAAATATTCATAATGAAGTGAGAGAACCCACACACCCTTGCCACACACACACCTCCTAGATCACAAGCATCTTCACTATCCTGTAAAGAATTCCTCCCAAAGGAAGTTGAGGCCTAGGAACTTTCTTCCACCTCTGCAGCTTTTTTAAAAATGTGAAAAACAAAACCCGGGGGGGGGGAGGGAGAATATTTCACCCACTCACAAGATATTATATTAGACTAACAGCCTTTTTACACAGTTTATACTAAGAGAGACCAGCTGATTGTTAAACAAAGTGTTAGGCCTCTTTAAAAGGCTTTCAAATAAATGAGCTGTGTACTTTCCACCAACTCCTATTTAAGTGCAAAGGCTAGGAACTAAAGAATTGTACAGCTATTGAAAGCTCATGAGAGCTTTGGACTGAACATGTGTTGGCAACCTCACAGTTGGATTACTGCAATGTGAGGCTACCTTTGGATTGATTCGGAGGTTGCAGCTGGTACAGAATGCAGTGGCCAAGCTGCTTCTTGGGGTGGGGTGGGGTGGGGGGACTAACAGCAGTATGGGGTGTGCAATTTGCTTGCAGCCTTTACACTGGGTGCCCATTTGCTACCAGGCCAAGTTCAAGGTGCTGGACAGGTCACCTTATGCCTTATACATCCAGTAGATTGCTGTGGTCTACTGGAAAGTGTTTCCTGCAAGAGCCAAAGATTTCAGAAGCCAACTCTGCAGTAACTCAGAGGAGGGCTTTTAATATGGCTGCCTCTGTTCTGTGTAACAGCATTCCTGTTGAAATATGACTGACACCAGCTATCTGCACTTTCCAGAAACAGTTATAGGACAGCTGTATTGTAGGGGGTTGGACGAGATGATCCTAAGGGACCCTTCCAACTCCACAATCTATGATTCTATGATTTTTAGTGCAGCAGGTTTTTGTAGCTGGCTAAGGTTTCAGTATTGTTTTAAATGTGTTTACTGTTTTGTGTTTTTAACTGTTTTCAACTGTTTTACATGTAAATTGCCTTGAGATGGTGGTTTAATATTATCATAACAACAACAATGGTAGCCGTCTTTCTATAGCGCCCCCTCGAACCAAAGCTGAGGTGAATGAGAGAGAATATATTTATGAGGTGTTAATTAAGTACAGTGGTACCTCAGGTTAAGAACTTAATTCGTTCTGGAGGTCTGTTCTTAACCTGAAACTGTTCTTAACCTGAGGTACCACTTTAGCTAATGGGGTCTCACACTGCCGCTGCTGTGCAATTTCTGTTCTCATCCTGAAGCAAAGTTCTTAACCCGAGGTACTGTTTTGGGGTTAGCAGAGTCTGTAACCTGAAGCATCTGTAACCTGAGGTACCACTGTATACATAAATCAATAAATAAAATATTTGCCTCAACACATACACACCCCGCCCCACACAGTGTATCTTAGTATAGCACAGTTCGCTCCCTGGATACCACTACTTGCCCTCTCACTGTCTATACAACAGGAGTGTTCCCTGCTCTCATGGATGTCACATAGATAGCAAAAATAACTTTGTGTGGAATGAGTTGCCTCTGGATTTAGACTAGGATACCTCTAAACAAGGGAAAAGCAAGTCCCTGTGGTGAAGTTTTCATATGCATGTTAAAAAGCAGACCCAACGCACCACAAACAGGCATGAGCACCGCACCACTGAAATAAATGATACACATTCATATCTGCCCTAATGTGAATGTTAACCAATCAAAGACACACACAGGAGAATTATAAATATAAAAACCAATAGAACCTTGCTTAAACCTTCAGTGTGAACCACATTTGGCATTAGAACTCATAGAAATGTTAACAGTTGTAAAAAAAAAAAAAAAGGATGGTTCCTAATGGGATATTTTAGGAAGTTATTTAAAATTATTGTTCTAAAAATTAGCTAGAATAAGCAAAGCTCGAGTTACACTGCTCAAGTTTATGCTGATGACATTCTGGTATCAGAGCAACCATCTCTCAGCTGTTCTGCAATAGAACAGATGGGGTCTCATTGCCAAGAACAAGGTCAGCCCCCTGTAAGGCTTGATTCGAAGAATGAACAAAATGCATCTTACTCTAAAGCATTTCTAAAAGCTGAGTAAAGATAAATTCTTCCTTGGACAGCCACTCCAACACTTTACTCGCTTTGCTCCACCTCTGAAAATTATGCACGCATGTGCACATGTACATAACGCCCCCCTCCCTCCACATACATTGACTGAACTTTGAAATACCAAAAGGCTCAGTTCAATTGCTGGTCTCCCCATAGTGGCTAGCTAGGAAGTTCACAAGTGGGTCATGATGGAGGCCAGCCATGCTTGATGACCAGATGCGTATCACCCCTAAACATGCTTCAGTTGTGACCTAACAGCCAGGCATTTTTCTAATCTATTTCTAAGCCATCCCTAGCAACATGAAAAAGCAAAGAGGCATAGCAGAGGATGGTTTTGATCCACTGCCATTTGTGCTATGGGACCAGCATCCATCCATTGTGCTCTTTGGCTAAGTCCACTGCAGAGATGGTAACCAAACCCAGACCTTCTGTAACAAAGCCAATATTTTTATTCACCAACCCATGATTCACTTGAAAATAAGAATGCCAACACTCACCACAGGCCCTGAGCTCAATTTCACCTTTTTTTTTAATGGACATCTTCTAACACCTGCACATTACTTTGAGACCCTGTATCTTTCTGCAAAATAAAAGTATCTATTCATCTGAAGTCAATGAACTCAAGCTGCATGTAACTAGATGCACAAATTGTATTTAACCAATTCTTTTACAGTGGTACCTCAGGTTACAAACACCTCGGGTTACAGACTCTGCTAACCCGGAAGTAGTACCTCAGGTTAAGAACTTTACCTCAGGATGAGAACAGAAATTGTGCGGCGGCAGCAGGAGGCCCCATTAGCTAAAGTGGTACCTCAGGTTAAGAACGGTTTCAGGTTAAGAACAGACCTCCGGAACGAATTAAGTTCGTAACCCGAGGTGCCACTGTAATTGTTAACAAACGCCCCTAGCCCTCAGGCCAGAATCTGAAGTAACGACAAAAGTCTGTCTAAGAAGCCGAGCATAAACGTCATCAACAACAACCCCTGGCCCAGTCACCAAATCATAATCAATCACTGTTGATTTGAACTTTAAAAAGTAGGGGAGATGTCCACAAAGTTGTAATGTCAGTGCAATGACTTTGGGTTGTGGAACTTCCCCTTCTTCTCCACTCCCCATGTGCTCCCGGGGTTCTTTCAACCCTATGGAGCAGATCTGAGGAGCGGGGGGAGACACATGGGGACAGCAGAGAGAAGGGAAGTTCCACTGTGCAAAGACAAATCCTTGCCATAACAGAACTACTTCACTGGACATTGCCCTGTGAGCTTAACAAGCTGAAAACCCTAGAAAATACTTTAAAATTATCCTTGTAAAGAAGTTCACGTAAATCACTAGCCTGTAAACATTTTTAGTAGCCTGCTGAGGGCTGGCAGAGGAGGAACGGAGAACCCCTGTCCCTCCTACAGCAGCCCACTCTACTCCTGTGCGTTCCTTCTCTGGCAGCTAGCTCAGCTGCTGTGCTGAGCGCTGAGGATGGACAGAGCATTCACTTGCATGCATGGAGTTCCTCGTCGCCTATGGCTACCAGGCTAGTGCTTAGATACAAGGCGTGGTACCAATATCATTATAGTTAAAGTGACTGCATTCCACACAAGATAGAAGGGTTGTGTTCCAAAGCCCTTCATCAGGTTTCAGCAGGACGTAGCCCATACTGTTATACGCATACCTCCCTTTCAGATTTTCAAGTTCCCTGTGGTGAAGCATACTTCTCATGTGCTCATCCATCTCCTAAAAGCAGAAAAAGTGTTAAAGTATAAATAGCCAGAAAACAGAGCATAATTAAGTACTCCTCATCCATCTATCAATTTCCTCCTATTAAATTTTGTCAGTTTCTTTGATGGCTTATCCCACTGCCCACTGTTTTTTACTGGCATTAGAATGTGAAGTCACCTTTGCAGAAAAGGTGGCACTAAACAGAGGAGAAACAAAGTTTTATAATATAGAAATGAAGAAGGGATATCTGCTTTTATACTGTTCAAAGAGCACATTATACATGTTCTGTTCTACAAATATATAATATTCTCTCTCTGTCTCTTAGGATTCAATTATTTGATTAGGCAACTATTGCACACACTCTTTTGGGTCTTGTGTATGGATCTGAAAAAGCTTGCACATTTCCAGCCATTTTTTCTCATTGGTTTCCTTTGTATAATCATATCTAGGTCTTTTACATGCTCTTCTTCCCTCCCAATTATATACCTTCCCTCCCCGGTTATATGTGTGATTATATTTGGCCTCCATTTCTTAAATGTGTACTATCCAGGGAGACACATTAGAAGATTTATGAGCGATCACAAAGCACACAGTGTTAAGGATAACTGGGCAACACTTAAGTATTTTAGCTCAACAATGTTAAAATGTGTATTGTGCTAGTCTAATTTGTTTCTGGGAATTCATCCTGTAGTTTAGTGTGTATTCTGGGCAGAAAGTGAGGCTAGTCTCTGTAGCAGAGCTCTGAGAAATCCGACTCTCTGCTCATGGGGACGTGTCAGTTCTAATAGAAGAGAAAATAGTTATTAAGAGACCTCTCCCACCCACCCCTTCTCCTCCTCAAAAATTCCTCGGTGGTTAAGGACTTGACCTGACCTATACAAATGCATTTCGTCTAATTCTATTTTTGCTCTGAGAGCTCTGCCTGATTAACTTCTTCTAAGGTCCAATTCTTACTTTACATTTTGTACCCAAACACACATTACATGTGCACCTCACCAGGTATGAAGGGTGTATACAAGTACAATTCAATCTGCATTACTTTTAGAAATTCAATTTTCCTGGCCACCACTTCCAATGTGGGGTTTTTTTGGGGGGGGGCACCCAGCTGATTCTTTTATTGTTCACCCACATATGTGGGTCCACAGGGAATAATATATTTAATTCCCCACAGAGGGGCCCTTTTGTAAATTCCAGTGCCATCATCTGAAGCATGGTCAGTAGAAACATGAAAAGGCGCTTTATCTGAGCACCACACAGGATGCAGAACACATTGCCACAGAAGAGCCACTTAACCCCTTCTCTGTTGTTACTCTGCTCTTGGCTTAAGAGCTTTTTGGGCCCTTTGAGCCAGTGTGGTGTAGTGGTTAAGAGCGGTAGTCTCGTAATCTGGGGAACCGGGTTCGCGTCTCTGCTCCTCCACATGCAGCTGCTGGGTGACCTTGGGCCAGTCACACTTCTTTGAAGTCTCTCAGCCCCACTCACCTCACAGAGTGTTTGTTGTGGGGGAGGAAGGAAAAGGAGAATGTTAGCCGCTTTGAGACTCCTTAAAGGGAGTGAAAGGCGGGATATCAAATCCAAACTCTTCTTCTTCTTTCTCACTTAAACTTTTTGTTTCTCCTGGAGTAAAGTTATGGTGGTTGCCGTTGTTTCTTAACATTGTGAGCTTAATATTTATTATTACCATTATTAATATGAAGTGGTTTTAATGTAATGAAAGCCACCCTGAACAACTCTGGAAACACCTCTGGAAAATTAAGATATGAATCTTAAATCAACACAGCCTCTTTCAGAAAACTACATTTTATTGGGATAGTTGACATTTCAGTTTACCTTTTTTGAGCTGTATATGATGTGACACAATATACATTTTCTTTCTCGGACCATAGTGAACACTTTGAAAATGTCTTATCCGACCCCTACAAACAGGGAAAAAATAAACCGTATTCAGTAACACTTCAACAGTTTCCTAGTTTTTATGAAAAACCAAGTGTGACATTAAAACAACCAAGCACACCATTTTATTTTCATTCACATCTTCAGTTTAGCTATAGTTCTTTTTCATAACAATCTAACTGCTATCTCTCTTTGATCAAGTACTAAAGTAATGTTTCTGAGCACCAGTGGTGGCCATTTAATCTTGGACTGGAAGAAGGATACATTGAAGAACCGAAATACGTTGGATAAAATTCAAATTTTACTTGCACAAATGGTGCAATTTAATGACATTATTGTCATGAAAGGATAGTTCTTTTGTAAAAACTACATTTTTATTAATCATTTTTCTTGCTATTTCAGATGAAAATCAAATCAAAGTTTTGATAAATTCAAGATAAAACCAGGAGCATGTCTTGACCACTACAGAAAAGGATTGAATTTTAAAGATTAAGCAGCATATGATGAATAAAATAGCAAATGCTGTATAGCAATGCCATCACACAGCACATCAGTTTTTGTTCACATCCTAAACAGTCAGGTTAAAATAAGGTAAAGGTAAAGGTACCCCTGCCCGTACGGGCCAGTCTTGACAGACTCTGGGGTTGTGCGCCCATCTCACTCAAGAGGCCGGGGGCCAGCGCTGTCCGCAGACACTTCCGGGTCACGTGGCCAGCGTGACAAAGCTGCATCTGGCGAGCCAGCGCAGCACACGGAACGCCGTTTACCTTCCCGCTGGTAAGCGGTCCCTATTTATCTACTTGCACCCGAGGGTGCTTTCGAACTGCTAGGTTGGCAGGCGCTGGGACCGAGCAGCGGGAGCGCACCCCACCGCAGGGATTCGAACCGCCGACCTTTCGATCGGCAAGCCCTAGGCACTGAGGCTTTTACCCACAGCGCCACCCGCGTCCCTCAGGTTAAAGTAGATATATGCAAATATGTCTTCTACACTGTTTATTTAACCATGCTAGATATTCATACTAACAAATATGTAAAAATAATCAGAAATATGTATAACTGCTTTGAGTAGTATATAACGGTAGGTATTTTTTTACAATTGAGTGGTATATAGCTTTATTAAATAAATAAATAAAATTAGGCATTTCAAGAAGCAGTAATGTAAGTCCAGTATTTTTTTTTTGGGGGGGGGGAATCTCCTTCCTGGAATAAACTGTCTGAAGGTGAACTGTCACATGATGAATGCACAGGGCTTTGCAAACTAGGATGCAGCTGGTGAAATGTAAGAGCAATAACTATGAGCCCCACTTTCTATGTCGGTTTTGGGCTCTTATTGGGGCATCTTAGGTTAATTGCCAGCCGCTACTGCTAATACAGGAATAACACTGCACTAACGTACAAGTTTATTTTAAGAACTACTGAGATAATAGGTGGGATGTGATAGCAATAAATACTTATATTATTCTGCTTAACGAGTATTAAACCGGAGGTCTCACTGGGCTAAACACAAGCTCTGGGGCTTGTGTTGCCTTCTCCTAACTGAAACAGACAATCCTACTATAGTAATATTATAGTATATTGAGAATAGCAGACAACGTGCGCAGATAGATTACACGACATGACTGCATAAAAGGATTTTTCGAGAAACATAGGTTGAGGGTCAATATTTAAAACACCCTTTATACAGGACGCAAACCGCTGCATAACAGCTACTATGTTAAGATACTGCAGAATCTGCCATTATTAGAATGCATGCTTTCATCTTTCTTGTACTATTTGTACACACTGACTAGCAGTTACATGCAGGAACTGCCGAAGGTTTTAACTCACAGAAAAGAATGTTTCTGAAGTATAAAGCACAGTTGTAAGTAACTGAGGAAGAGCTCTTATGTAGAGAGAGTCATCAACAAACTACCCGGTAAAATTCTGTCAGGTACAGACATTTAAGGTTTTGTGTGTGTGTGTGTTTGAGTTACGCTGGAAAATGTCTCCCACTCTAAGCAGAAAACTTTAAAGCATCTATTCGGGGGGGGGGGGGGTCAGCCCAACCCTCAATAGCTGCAGCATAACTTTCATGACTCTAAGATGAAAAGAATGCCGTTCAAGATCACTGCAGTCAAGCGGCAAAATTATAAACATCCCTTTAAACTTCTGAAGCTTACTTTAATGTGAAAAGGAACTTGCGCGTATTCTTAAAAGCAGGAGGTGCTAATCCTTATACGGAATATTGTGGATTTCCTTGTCGGCTATAACTTGCTCTCTGTGCCTAATATTCTATGTGAGCATTGCTTTGTAGTTGATGAATTAATGCTCACTGTATGTTTAGCATATTGATTAAAATTGGCTCAGTGTTTCTGGAATTTGTTGGGCAGAAGGGAAGCCAAATACTTAATAGGCACAGCAAGGTCACTAGAGTAGGCCCGGCTTTTAGCATTAGTTAGCACACTCCGTTAAAGTGACTTTTACCAAGCGGATCTAAAATTATACCTGCTTTGGTGAATTAGAGTATCAGAGTAAGTATACGTGATCACAAGAGGAGTTTAAAAGGATTCCCGTCAGCTGCCCAATCAACAGCAGCCACTTGTGAGAGAAGGCTAAAAATACTGGCGGAGGTCAGCTGCTATTGGCTGTCACTATGGGAGGCAAGGGCAAGCTTCTTTCTGCAAAGGGACCACTCAGACTGCACTCAAAGAGGCAACAGGTTTCTGGTCTAGAATCAAGTTCTCAAGGGCTCTTTCATGTCACCCAGGGAAGGTCACAGGAGGAATAAAATGCCTGTGAAGAAAAGAGGGGTGCAGCAGGGCCCTCCTTGTTCTATTTGTGAGCCAGGTGACCTCACACATCCATTTACCTGGCAGGTATGACACTCCAACAGTAAGGCCTTGGGGATTTGTGCCACACCCACTTGGATACAGAAGGCAAAGCAAGGAAACTAAGGACCATTTGGGCAATGGGAGCAGCACAGGGAGTGAGGATGGGCTGGTTCAAAAGAGGAACAAGGAATCTATGCAAAGAGGTGGCAGAACCCCAAGGCTCAGGCTTTCCTCCAATGAAAAAAGGGCAGCAGTTTCCTAGAGCAGAAGGCAAGAGTTCTCAGAGCAGATAAAGTGCTATGGGAGGCAATCCCTCAGGAATCCTGGGTCCAAGCCATTAGGGCTGGCCGGCCAGCCAAACCTTTTTCAGACCAACAGCCACATTCCTTCCAGGAGCCACATACCAGCAGCAGGTGAAGCCAGAGGCAAAAGTGGAAACAGCAACAAATGTAAATTTTGCCTTCATACAGTAACCAAGGTCCTAGACACTCTTTGAATCACCCATGGAGGGAAGCATGATCAGAATGGAAGGACACATTTCAGGTGGGCAAAAATACTCAAGGGGTTGCAAACAAGGCCAGTGAGAGGCGTGGTCTGGGAAGAGTTCTGAGGACCAGGTAGAGAAGTTTGAAGGGCTGCATTTCGCCCACCCCTGCATTAAGGCTTTAAAGGTAATCATCAGTAAGTTGAGCTGTGCCTTGGAGCAAACTGGCAGTTGGAACATACAGAACAGATATAACATGGTCCAATGGTTATGTGGCCACTAAAATCCTTGCTGCTGCATTCCAGATCAACTGCAGCTTCCAAAGGCTCTTCAAAGGTAGCCCCATGCATAACACATTGCCCTTCCCTATATAATAAAAAATAAAACATTTATACAGTGGTGCCCCGCAAGACGAATGCCTCGCAAGACGAAAAACTCGCTAGACGAAAGGGTTTTCCGTTTTTTGAGTCGTTCCGCAAGACGAATTTCCCTATGGGCTTGCTTCGCAAGACGAAATGTCTTGCGAGTTCGTTTCCTTTTTCTTAAAGCCGCTAAGCCGCTAATAAAACCACAAGACGAAGAGACTCGCGGAACGGATTAATTTCGTCTTGCGAGGCACCACTGTATTCCACCTTTCCTCCAAGGAGCTCAAGGTAGGCTACACAGTTCTTCCTCCCCACATTTTATCCTCCCAACCATCCTCTGAAGTATGTAAATCAGGCTGAGAGACAGTGGCACTTCATGGCAGAGTAGGGATTTGAATCCAGGTCCCCCAGGCCCAAATCCAACACTCTAACCATTACACTACACTGCTTATTCCAGGGACTGACCAGGACTTTGAGAGGATCACAGGCTGAAGCAGTCGGAAACTCACCTAGGGCAGTCAGGAAACCTTTTGGCTCCACCTTGCTCCAAAGGCTGCCACCTTCTAACCTTTCAGAGGTTAGAAGCTTTTGTGAGTTGAAAAGGACCATATATTGCCCCTTCATACCCAGATCACCCTCCTTCTGTACAGAACAAAAAAACCAAGTCCAGAGTATTCTCCTGGACCTATGGTTGCCATGGAGGCAGAACCTCCAAACCTACCCCACAGCACTTTTTAGGAAGTAGTGAGTGCTGGACCCAGTCCAGTTTGGCATCCATCTGTCTAGAGCAGGGGTCGGCAATTTTTTTTGCCACAGGCCGGTCCACTATCCCTCAAACCTTGTGGCAGGCCAGAGAAGCGGCACCAGAGGGGGCAGGAGTTGGAAGAAGAGGTATGGGGGCAATTATTCCTCCCCACCCCCAGCCGCTGCGCTTACCTTCCCTGGGGCTGCCACCGCCACTGCCGCCACCGCTGCTTCTCGTGGGCAGGCAGAGCGAGCTCGTCCGCTCCGCTCTCTGGCCCACAGGAGCACCAGGGCAGCGGTGGCAGTGGGAAGATGAGTGGCACGAAAGGGATGGCTCCAGAGAGGGGCTGCTTAAAATGGCACTCAGCCAGCCCCCTTCCTCCTCTAGGCAAGGCGGGGAGAAGCCAGAAGGAGGGAGGGAGGAGGCACCGCCACGGTGTGGGGGGCAGGAAAAAAATGGCACAGCCCGAATGAACAGAATCCCCATGCCGATCCACGAACAGTTCACAGGCTGGATCCTGAAGGCAATTGGGCTTGATCTGGCCTGCGGGCCTTAGTTTGCCGACCCCCGGTCTAGAGAGACAATGGAGTGTGCCTCCAGGGGCAAAGCCAAACTGCTGAAGAACCACAGTGCCTGCTACAAAGATCGGTAACTAATAACTGCTGCCTCCCACACTGTTTTTGCTGCATTAGCACAGAAGTGACCTCTCCAGGGCACAAGCTTGGGCAGTGTGTATGGAGGTCCTGGCCTGCCCAGTTGACAAGACCCACCTCTCGGCTTCATTGATGTAGTCTAAAGGAAAGCAGAGAAATATGTTTAGCACCAGCTCGACGGCACTGTGGAAACATCGGTTCCATGAAGTTCACTGAGTGACCTCAGGCCGATCAGTCTGACCTAACTCACAGGGTTGTGACAAGGATGAAATAGAGCGGTGGAACCATGTATGCCACTTGGAGTGCCTCAGCAGAAAGGCAGGATATAAATGTAACAAACAAACTACATAAGCAAATGTTCTGTTGTCTATTCCAGGCATGTCCAACGGGTAGATTGTGATCTTAAAAAAGCTCAGGCTCCACAACTTTGGCTTCCTAAAAAAACTCCACAACTTTCAGTAGTAGATCACTGCCAGTCTTTTTACGACAATGGGTAGATCATTGCCAGTTTTTTAATACTGTGAGATCGCAAACTATTGGGAGTTGGACTTCCCAGACTCTATTCCAAGGGTCAGCAAACTTTTTCAGCAGGGGGCCGGTCCACTGTCCCTCAGACCTTGTGGGGGGCCGGACTATATTTTGGAGGGGGGGGATGAACGAATTCCTATGCCCCACAAATAACCCAGAAATGCATTTTAAATAAAAGGACACATTCTACTCATGTAAAAACACGCTGATTCCTGGACCGTCCGCGGGCCAGACTGAGAAGGCGACTGGGCCGGGGCCGGACCCCGGGCCTTAGTTTGCCTATGCTCTATTCTATAGAGCCCATGCTCTATTCCAACCAGTACACCATCTAGAGGAGAAAACCAGCCATAATGCCCACTTCTGCAGCAGACCACAATACCAAATCACACACCACATAAGAACTCCTGTGCTACATTCAGAATTGCAATCTGCCCCTCCTAACTTCACTGGACAGTGTCAACCCAGAAGCTATTACCCAGCAAAATGGTCCAGACAGACCCATCCACCACCGCTACGTTCTCCTGGGACTTGCTGCAGCAGCTCCAAATGAGAATCATTCTACACCACAGGAAACACCTGTGTCCACATCCTACCTGCAACTGCATGCTGGAAATAAGTAGCAGATTTGCTTCTCAAATAAGTAAGTTTGGCTGTGCCACAGATAAAAGATAAACTCTTCTCTTTCAAGGAAAATGTTGTCCCATCAAATGCTTTCATGGCCTCAGTGGTGCAGAGTGCCTTCCATCAGCTTCAGTTGGTGACCCAGCTATACTCTTATGTAGACAGGGATAACCTAACTTCTGTTGTCTATGCTCTGGTAACGTTTAAAATATTTTATACAAGGGGCTACTTTTGAAGACAGTTCAGATGCTGTAGGTGCAGAATTCAGTGGCCAGGTCGCTCCCCAGGGAAAGATGGTCTGCGCACAGAACACCAATTCTGGCCTGACTGCACTGGCTACCAGATAGCTTCTGGGCCCAATTCAAAGTGCTGGATTTGACCTAAGAAGCTTTATGCAGCTCAGGACCCGAATGCCTCAGGGTCTGCCTTTCTCCAAATGAACCAACCCAGATGTTAAGACTCGATATCACAGTAACTCTTAAGTTTGGGTCATAATTGACAATTACCAGTTTCAGACTTGAAAACAAACTACATATATACATATTAAATTGTACTAAGGGCTATTCTCATTTGTTCTTTGTGGACTGCATTCATATCTGTTACATCAGACAACTTTTGAAAGACTTACAAGTTACACAAACACTTTTTAGAATGATCCAAGAAAATGTGTCAAACAACATTATGGAAGTATTGAAAAAACTACACCTCTGAAGTATTCCCGAAAGTGCCCCAAAGTTTCCACACCACAGTTTAAGAAGCACTAGCAGATGTCGACGCACCCATTTGTAGCAGCATATTAAATAATAAGCAAAACATATACATTAATGGTTAGCCTCTCCCTACTTTATAGGATGCTCCTAATTACAATGCTGTCTGCATGGTGCGTACAAGTTGTGAAAGCTATAATGCAAGAAAATTGATGTCTCCGATATCACGCCTCCCCCCCCCCAACAAGGTTTCTAGGTTAGGCTTTTACTGCCACAAGTGGGGCTTTGTGTTAGTCCTCCAATGTGTGCTTCAAAAGTACAAAATCTCGCGCAAAGGCTGCTTTGCACGCTGCCCTCCAGCCTTACGTGCTCAGCAGCCCTAACCTAACAACTTCATTTAAGATGGTTCCCCCGAACTGCCCCATCCCACAAATAACCGTAGCTGTAGGTCTCGCATACTCGTGACCTACAGCCACCCCATCTACATTGCCGCCGTGCCTGCGCTTAATCTCAGCCTCTCCTCCTCCCCACGCACTGGAGAGCCAGGCACCGCCCGTCCACCTCTCAGTACTCACAGGTCGTACCCTCCTCACCCCGCTGCGTAGCCCAGGCCCATCGCCCAGCAAGATGGGCTGGCCACGGCCCCCTCCCTCCTCCGCCGCCTTCCCCGCTGCCGCCGCCGCCTCCTCCTCCTACTCCGGACACTTGCCGACCCGAAAGAGACCCGCGCCACAACGCAGGAAGCGCCCCCATCGATTCAGCCAATCGGAAAGCCCAAACCTTACGCGCCTTTGCATTCTGGGAAGAGTAGTTTTCGCGCTTCACAGAACCCGACTCGGCGGCGCTCTTTCCGACGGGAAACGACTCTTGCGAGAGAAAATTGTGGCCACGGCCATAGGGCGCGGGGCATTTCGGGAGTTGTAGTTTTGCTCCCGGAGGCGGCGGAACTTGGGCACTTTCTGTTGAATTCGATTGGCGTTGCTTCCAGATGGCCGTGCGCGGGAGTGGGGTGTAAGGCATGGATCCTTCGTTGGGACGAGGCCCTGCCGACGCGGTTCACAGTGGGGCGTCTTTCTAAGCTCCCTGAAATGTCTAATCCACAGGGATTAGAGACATTATGATTCCTACTAAGAAGCCTGTCTTGGAGACGAAGTTTGTGATCCCCGAGAATTCAGCTATTAAACCCAAACTCAGCTGAATAATAATAATATAAAAAAAACCTGCGTGCGCAGACAAACCTGAAAGCTAACGCACAAATCTTTATTTATTAGTTGTAATGATTTGCTATTGCCCTTCCAGCCAGTACATAGGACTTTAAGGAGATTTCTTTATTCCTTGCTTAAGTCTGTTTATTATCATATTATTATGTTCAGAGAAGAATCTGGAAAATTCAGCCATGTCGATCATAGAGGTAGACACACGTCTCAAAAACCTAAACTTAGATTAGCCGATATATAGAAAAGCAAGGACGTCTCCACCGCAGGTGTCTGACCTGATGCAACGATTGCCACCGGATTTGGCACTTTGAATCCATAACCAACTAACGGAGTGGAAAGGAGAGCGCCAGCAAAAACAGCAACTCTCTAGAATAGATCATGAGCAGCAGTCTTAGTCTTTGGCAGCAAAATAGAGTGTCTTGTGACACCTGAGAGATCAACAAACTTATAGCATAAGTGCGGACTACTGTGCATTGCTTTAGATGCAAGAAGCGTTACCCAGAGTTATAGGTATGTGTGCACAAGTTTGGGAGGGGAGGTTACAGAAAGCGAGGCCAGATGGAAACCGAATGCAGAAAAACAAACTGATTACTTGATTGGTGTTCTGGAAAGCGAAAGGAGGACGCGGAGTTTGACAGTCACTCGCTTTCGCCAATAACTCGAAGCGGAAGCGACTAATGCAATCGTGAGTGGGGGTTGCGGAGGAGGCGGGTGTTGTTGTCAAGGATCGAGGAGGAGACACCTCGTCGGTCAAGAAGGAACTGGAGGGCGGAGGCTGTGAGGAAGTAGCCCGGGTGGGGCTTGACCGAGCGAGGGGGCCCCCGCAGACTGGAGGCAGAGCGGAAGGCCCGAGCTCCTGGGTGCGGGGCTGCAGAGGAGGGCGAGGGCTGGTCGACCTCGAAGCCGTGTGAGTGAGCCTTGAAAGGGAAAGCAAGGAGCGGGCAGCGTGGGGTGGCGGCGGGGAATCCGGGGATGGGGAGAAGCGGGCTCGCGGAGTACGTGTGAATGAGTGCAGCGGCGTGCAAGGGAAGGTGCGAGTGCGGGGTCTGCTCGGAGGGGAGGTCGGGCGAGGTGCCGGAGGGAGGTGGGGCGCTCGAGGAGCCCGGGAAAGGAAGGGGCCGGCTGGGCGTCTCTCGGCTTCATATACATACAGGGCATATATATCTCTATATAATGGTCGGCTGGACTGGAGGCTGAACCTGGGCGAGGATCTGCGGCGAGTGGCCCAGGAATGCGGGCGGGTGAGGAGCCCTGCGGAAGGGAGGAAGGAAGGAGGAGAGAGGGAGAGGCGGATAGTGCAGGAAGCGGCGAGGAGGGAGAGGCAGAAGCGCCGCTCTCGCATCCCCGGGAGCGGAGGGACCTCGGCGGGCGAAGCTGCCCTGCCGCCGCTTCCCGGCTTCCGGGGTGCCTGCCTGCCTGCCTGGGACTGGCCTCCCTTCCAGGCCCCGCTTGGTCTGGGGAGTTAGGGATTCCTGGAGGAATGTGGCCAACTGGCTTCCTCTCCCCAGAGCTGCCCTATAGTTCATGCTAGTATATCATTGCTACATAAGGTGTGAATCCTTTTTCTGAGCCCTTAATTCCTGAGGGTGGTTTAGAATGGCAAGGCACTTAAGGGAGAAGGTAACTTCTGTTTTGGGGCGTTCCCAGCAGAGGGTACATAAAACAAGTGAGTAGGCATTTCAGAGTAATAGCAGTAGCTGGTTTATGGAAAACAAGAGTTTAAGGCATACTTTTATCCTTCACAGTATGCTCCACAATTGAAAGTTCACTCAGGAGTCAGTGTTGTAGGGCACCTGCAAAGGCCCACACCTGTCTGCTGGTCTTTTTCCTCCTTGTTGTTACTACTTTTTTATGTGCCCTCTCTAAGAAACGCCATTCGTTTAAAACACATGACTTCTCACAAAGAATCCTGGGAACTGTGGTACATACACAGTCCAGGAGTATGGTCAAGGGCAAGGAGAGCAACTTCCACTCATTCTCTACTTCAGGGCAGTGGTACACATTAGCCCAAGAAGCAGAAGGCAAATGACTGGGCAGTGTCAGAGTGGCTGGAAGAAAAGCTAGCAAAGGATATACAGTATTGCCCAAATCTGGACCCAACACTAGGTTGAAAGCCTTTACATCTTCATAATGTTGAGAACATGATATAACTTGAATCTTTGGTGAGGTACATGAAGTAGATTCTGTAATATGGAGCTGTTCATCTTATTTCCAATAATTCATTTCTGTCCATGCTTTCTACTCTTTTGCTATTTCCTGTTCTTCTATTCTCCCATATGGTTCCCCATTTTCCCTTCTACTTGATCTTTTCTAACTCCTCCCACTTCTTTTTTCTACTCTTCACCCCATGTCTTTTGTACATAGGGATAACTATTATATGTAAACATGCTCCTTCCTCCCTTGAATGCACAGCCCTGTGCAGCAGCGTCTGATCAAAGAGCAGTCTCCCCTCATCCTCTACCCATTCAGTACATTATAAACTATTCCAGGCTGTGTTGGCTATTCTCCATCTGGTTCATAGTCCTTCTGAGGACTATCAGCTTTGGTATCTCATGCAGCAGCCAAGCTGTTAGTGAAATATAGAGCACAGCTTTTTCAGAACCCTATAAAAGTTGCTTGCGGGAATCCCTGGTAATCACAGTTTCCAGGGATGAGCAGGAAATTACAAAGCTGCCATAAGCTTGCCTTCTTGTATGACTTGAGGTCTTGTTCACACATAGTACTGGCCTCTCCTTGCTACCATACACATATATCTCCTTAAGAGTTATGGTAGTCTGCAGGCCTACGCATCCAGCACTATCAGCTTACTTTCATATTTTAGCACCCCCACAACATTTGCCATTCCTGAGTTTTATTCCCTGCTCTTGTTTCTTAATGTAGTCATGCTCTTAAGAATACTACAAATAGTACTCTATACATTTTTAACTTAGATGCATACATACTCAGTTCTGTTTCATTTTGACGATTAGCACTGGGATCCAAAGAGCCCCTTGTGAATGTTGAAGGCAACTTTATACATGCAAAGAGGATGCAGCAATTTTCCTTTCTAGCCACAACCCTTTCATTGGCACTGAGTGCCAAGCTGGAGAGTCTCCAGATTTACAGGCTAAGTGTTTTGAGGGAAGGTAATGGGCTGAGGGGAAAAGGGGAACTGAATAGCCTCAGTGCATTCAGCCTTTAAGACCCAGTTTAGAGAGGGAAAATGAACATCAGGAATAACTTGATGTTCCATGGCGCTGATTGTCGTATCCTACTTACAGTTTTAATATATATAAAATACTTGAGCCGTGAGGTCTGCCATGAGAATTGCATCAGTGTTCCAACTAACCTAAATAACCTTTCTAATAACTTTCTAATAACTTTATATCTCACAATTGCTTCTATCATACACTTCAGAGTAAGTCACAAAGCCATAAAAGATATTTACTCAGGAAGTGTTGTGTTTGTGACTTCTTCAGAGTAAGTCACAAAGCAATAAAAGATATTTACTCAGGAAGTGTTCTATTTAAAGATATAGGCTGTGATGCAAATCACTATGTTCACATGTTTCCAATCCCCCTTTGCACAGTGCATGCTACCAAAGTTGGTGCTCTTTTTCTTTCTGCACAGCAGTCGCTTGTGACTACTGAGTAACTTCTTAACAAAATTTGGGGAACTCAGGAGGGGATTAAAAGTGATGTGAAAGGGTGCATTTATAAATTAAAATTGGCAGTTATTCCCCTGCAAGTGGAAGTACTTATACTCTGGTGAGGAGCTGTTTCACTTCTGGCACCATGAATATCAATACAAAAGATAGCTCTTTGGCAACAGAATGCTTGCTAATATCACAAGGGGAATTCATTGCTGGGGATTTTAGTAATTCCAGCATTGGCTGTCTTCTAGCACTATTGCGCTGTTTCATTTTTGTTGACCAAGAAGTTGAGAGAGAGTGCCTTACATCAACATGAAAGTATGCAGTCACTTGAGACAGCTTTATAAAATAAGTTTCCTCCCTAAGAAGAAGCCGATTTGTGGGGAATTAGTTGTTCCACTACTAATTGTATTTTGGATTGTATCTTGGGTTATGGAGACCTGTTTGCTCATGGAAGTTTCTCTTACATTCAATGATCAAATCAAGTAACATACTTGCCTTTGTATAAATGCAGTCTCCAGAACTGCTTCTGTAACTTGGGTCGTTGGGTCTTTTCTAAGGTAGGTGCAGGTATTTGGAGTTCCTTTGCTGTAGAATGCATGAAAACTACCTCCAAGACAATGTTCATACCCACACATTCTTCTTTTCAAATTATCTTTGAACGTGACAACTACTAAAGTTTTGAACAACAAAGCAGAAGCAAACTACAAAATTAAGTCAAAATTAAGTCGAATTTATACTGGTTTACCTATTGTAGCTTTTCAAAAAAATATTCTGGGGAGGGTAGTTTGACAGCTATGGAAGTTTTGATTTGTAGTGTAGATAGTAGATACTGCTGTTAT